CAAACTTGAACGCAAAGGGTGAACGCAACCAACTCTTCTCTCTCTTTTATTAGAACTTTTGCAGTGCACGATGCGAGAAGGATCCCCTCCGCTTCTCGCTCGAACCCTTTTCATTCGAGGCTTTGGGAAAAATAAATCCGTGGGTGCGCGGCTCGGCTCCCCATGGCTGGGTGGCAGTGCCGCGCTAGGACTAGTGTAGGGCCGCCCCAATTTCGCGGTGTGCCGCCAAACAGTCCGCGCGGCGGAGAGAGAGAGAGAGAGAGGGAGAGAGAGAGAGAGAGAGAGAGAGAGAGAGAGAGAGAGAGAGAGAGAGAGAGAGAGAGAGAGAGAGAGAGAGAGTGGCGGTGCGGTGCATGCCGCTCTGTCCCCCTCGCACTCGTGGGACGTCAGCGCGACGAAGCGCCAAACGGGATCACACCACTGCAAACTGATTCCGAGAGTCGTTTTCGCCGGCTGCCTCTCTCGCACTCATAGGGCGTCCCGTATAGGTGCGAGAGAGGCAGCGCGGCGAAAACGACTCTCGGAATCAGTCTGCTGGCCAGGGCGAGCCAGGGGATCCTCGACGCCCCGACCCGCCGGAGCAGCTTCCATTACGGTGCCGGAGGTGCGGCGGGTCGGGTCGATTCGGGTCGGTTCGGGTCGGAATGACGCTCAATCGGCGGCCCTTATTGAAAAGCGGGTTATGAGTACTTAGCTCGTGGCGTGGCCAACACCCCCCGATGTGGGTCTCTCATTTCGGCTGAACCTCGACAGCTCCCGGCGCCGACCTGCAAAAACTTACGCCCCAAAAAGTTCCGCTTTTTTGTTGCTACCTGATTTTCGATTGCAGTTATCTAATTTAGCCCATGGAACAAAGTTGATCACCAAAACAAAGTCTTTCACTCCGTACAGGCGGCGGCGCCGCCAGCCACCATTCCATTCGGTGGCGCGCGAGCCCTCCCTGCCCTCGTCCCCGTCGGCAGGACTTGGTCGCGGCCGGGCGAAGACACGCCGCCGTGAGGCACTCGGCGACGGACTCGGGGCCCGCGCGGCCCAGCGCACCCCGTTAACCCACTCCCCTTCGCCATACGCCCCGCGCCACTTTGAGACAAATGAGTGGCCCGTGCATGCTGCCGGGCTGGGCGGGACGACGGGCAGCCCCACTGTGGGAGCGGCCGTGGCGGCAGCCAGGACTGACGCCCACCCTCGCCCCCCCCCCTCCCTCCGTCAGTTCATTGCGCAATTCGCGGCAATCGTGTTCGCTGTGGTAATGGTCGCCACGAGGCACGAGGCGGGCTAGGCCCGGCCGGCCGGACTCGTGTCGGTTCATGTTACTCCGCCGGAACGCGACGCGCAGTTAGTTATTTCGCAGTGTGCTGTGCAGTTGCCCCGTTTCTTTACCATAACAAAATTCCGACCCGCGGTACCTCGCTCTGTCTCTCTCGTACACATACGGGCCGCCCCATGAGTGCGAAAGAGAGAGAGAGCGACGAGAGCGGTGTTGGGAACCGCTCTGCAGGCCCGGCGGGAAGCGCCCGCTGAGTCGAGGGTAGGCAACCCGCCGGCCAGGGCCGCGGGCCAGTAGCCTGCCTCACAGGCGCTCGTACGCCTTCCTACTGTCTGTCTTTCTCCTCTCTCTCTCTGTCTCCCTCTCCCTCGCCCCGTCGCCCCGGCCCGCGGCCTGCAAGTCGCGAAGAGGCAGTCGGCAGTCGTAAACTTAATTGCTAATTACAGCCGTACTCTCTCGGCCAAGGGCGCCAAGGGCAACAGCTTGTTCTCTTTTTTTTCGCGCGACCCTCTCGCTCTCTCTTTTTCTGTAGTGTCCGCCATCCGCCGGCGGATGCTTTTTCTCCTCGGGGCGTGCGGCAGTGATCTCGGCGCGCGTCACGGTTTTTGTCTCGTTTATTCGGCCCAGAATGTTTTCGCCTCCTAATGTCGGCGCGCTTTGCCTCGCCTGGAGCTGGAGCTGGGGGCCGAGGCTGGAAGCCGGGGGGCAGCCGCGCCGACGTGTGGTCCGTCAAGACGGAGACGGTCGTCATGGCCGAGCGGGCGGAGCGGAGCGGCGCAGCGCCAGTGTCTAAGACGGCAAGTGGCTTAGCCGTTCCGCTTTCACCAAATTGAGCTCGTTCTTGCGCACCTCCGGCAGTCTCCCCCCCCCCCTTTCCCCCCCCCCCTCCCCCCTCCGGACCCACTCCGCGCCCGGCCCGCGGAGGCTTAGCCCCACCCTGGACTCGCCCGGGCCCGGAGCGCGGGGACGCCGGGACGCGACGCCGGGATTTGCAGTGGGAGATTAGAATGAAAATGAAAAACTGTGGGCAAATAGCCTCGCTAGCCTGGCTAGCCTCGCGAAGGGCGCTTCAAGCTTCAAGAGGGAGCCGGCACGCCCAGTCGTGTGGATGCGGTGGCCAGCCAGCCAGCGACGGCTCTGGGTTCGATTCCCCACGAGGTGCCACTGTTTTTCTTGCCAGTGTTTGTGTTTCACGAGCAATGAAAATCTGAACACTTTTTTGTCGAGCGAACTCGTGTAATCCGCGATTCTTGGCCTTGGGCGTCCGGGGGGGCGGGACGGCAGGGCGTCCCGAGCTGGGGTTGGGGTTCATAAGGTATTGATAGTCTGATGTACGAGCCAGTCAGCCAGTCAGCCCGCCACAATTGAGCCGGATTAACAGTGGCGTCAGGTCGGCCCGATACCGATCTATAACGTGTAGCCCCGCTGCGGCTCGGCCCGAGTAATCGCAAATTCATGACGGCGGTATTTTAACTGGAATCGCGTGATAGGAGAGACGTGTGGTGCAGTGGAGGAGGAGGGGGACCGAGATTCGGTTGGGGGGGGGGGGTAGGCTAAAGCGTGTACGGGGCGCTCCTGCCCCGCTTCCCAGAAGGCGGCTTCCGACGCGTCGCCGCCGACGCTCGAAAACGAGACGAAAAGTTAGCTAGCTTCCCGCAACGCCTGTCGCTCCTCGGCGATGCGGCGGGTAAGTACGCGCTCAAAAGTCTGGAGTGGGTATTATAAACTCCAACGGGTGGACAGGTACACACGCTCAGACGCGCGCGTCGCGGGGGAACACGATCGCTTCGGAAAACGCGGCTCGCTTCCAGCGGGTTACGCGAGGCGGCGGGGCGGGGAGGGCGGAAGGCGGCCAGTAGTTCCTCGGCGCGCCGGGGGGGGGGGGACGAAGCGGGGATTTAAACTGATAACGCGGCCGGCGACGGGGTAAGCGGTGCGACATACCCGCCCCGTTTGATTGTCTCCGTATTGCTCGTTCCGCCGTTGCCGCCGTTTCGGCCAGCCAATCCCCTCTAACAAGGGACCCCTCCCTGCCCCCTCCCCCCAGCCGGCCTGCCCCCGGCCCGGCCGGGCCCGGCCCCGGTAAGAGTGCATGTTTGCCTGAATATTCAGCAGAATGCAATGAGGTCGCAGCAGCGTTCCTGCGTCGCAGACTGCGAGCCACAGCGCCACAGTCTGTGGGTCAGCCCCGGAATGGGACGCTTTCACAGCCTGATTCGTATTCCGTTCCCCGTTTCCGACCCCAAAAAGAATGATATAATCTCACAAATGAGTCTCATTGTCGGGAAATGATCCAGCAGCCGAGCGATACCGCTCTCCCCTTCCCCCGCGCACCGCGAGCCGAACCTGAAACCGGCGGCCCGCGGCCCCGCGGCGGGGCGGGCCCGGGCTGCACCCACCCCCACCCCTCCCCACGGGGGGCACTTTGTAGTTATCGCAAATCTCGGGCTCCTCCTGGAAAAAGTGCCATTTTTCTGCGCTTTCCCGCGTTCTCGTAGTTCTCGTCTTTCCTCCGCGCCGCCGCGTTGTTGCGAGGCTGCCAGGCTGCCGGGCTGCTGTGCACCGGCGGGGCCGGCGAGGCGCGGCACCCCGGCACCACGTGGCGCCTATTTTTGCATTGGAAATTGGCCCCCTGACCCTCGGCGCGCTCTGCACCGGGCGCCCCCCCCCCCTCCTTTCCCCTTTTCTTTCTCCAGGCACAAAGGGGCCGGCGAGGCGGCCCGCTAAACGTGTCGTGCCGCGCGCCGCCCGGAAGGAGTGCAGCCGGAAATGCGTCCGGGCACACGTCGCGGCGGCGGGCACACCGCGCCCAAAAACGACTCCAACTTGAACCCGAAAACAAAAGCAAAGCCCGTCAAAAAACGCTCGCGGTGGGGCTAGTTGTTTCACCGGGATTAATCGCATGGCGGCCTGGCGCGGCCTGGCGCGGCCTGCCGGCAGGGCAGACGCGTTGGCGTGGCGCGCGCCGGCATTCAATTTTATCCGCGCACAACAGCCGTGCGCTACGCTACGCTACAAATCCCCGCCCCGCCCCGCGTGACTTGATCGCCAAACTTGGCCAATTAACTTTGGCCCCAAAACAGGCGTTGCGCGTTGCGGCGCGGGGCGGGGCGGGGCGGGGCGGGGCGGGGCACGGCCTGCGCAATCAGTGGGAGAGGCGGCGATGCCGGGGAAAGCTCGACTCGACTCCCCGGCAGATGCATTGCAGATCGTGTGATTCAATGCGGCCCTGATGAATGGGCGAGGCCGCCCCCCCCCCTCCCCGCCGGCCGTAGTGTCCGCACACCACCACCGCCACCACGCTGCGCGCTGCGCGTCGTTCCCAGTTTGCAATATTGCATCGCAGACGAAACGGCAGTTTATTGGCTTCCGCTTCCGCCTGCTTCCGCCCTCTCGCCCGCTGCAGCCGCGGCGTCGCGTCGCTGGACACGTCTAAGCTCTTCGCTCCGCAACGGACGGCCCGGGCTGGTGGCGCACCAAGAGGCACCCGGAGGGGGCACCCCGAGGGGGCATGGCGCAGCAGCGGGCCCCAGCCGAGGGCCCCAGCCGAGGGCCCCAGTCGAGACAGTGTTAATTACTGCCATCCATTGCAGCCTGCTGCTGGCTGCGCCGCGGCGGCACGCGGCACACTGCACGGCCTCTGCCGCGTGCCGCGCCGTGCCTCGCCGCCGGACTTTGCTTTGACTTTGGCCGTGCCGCTGATTTATGTGGGCGAAACGCCTGTTTGTTGCAGATGACGGACTACTTGGAGAACTCAAACGTGTCCGTCGTCGTGGACCTCCACGTCGTCAGCATAGTGTGAGTACAGAGAGCGAGCAAGCCAACCTGTTTTTCTTGTGTGCGAGTTGTTTTTGTTGTGTTTGTCGTTTGCTCGGCGCTGACTGCTGTTGGTTGCAGGCCGGCCGCTGACGCCGCCATGGACCTGACGTTCCGTGTGGTGTGCGGCCGCTGGGACCTGGCGCCGTTCAAGGCCGCGCTGGACCGCCTCGTGGACTCGTGCAGGGACTGCCTGGGCTCCATGCGCCTCGCCGCGCCACCCCGCGTGCCCGACCCGGAGCCGCTGCTGCATCTCCTGGTGAGCACCAAGGCCGTCCCCAAGGCCACCCCCAAGGCCGTCCCCAAGGAAGGTCGTCGTCCTCACGGCGTGTCAAAACAACGACCCGGGTGTTCCCCAGGCCGCCCCGCCGGCCCTGCCCTGTTTTGGGGTAAATCGACTTGGCCAAACCGCCGCGCTGCTCTGAAGCTGACTACTAAACCACTTTGTCTTTTTCCCGGGCGTGCAGCGGTTTTGCCGGCGGTTTCCCCTAATGCACCGCCGGGCCGTGGCCGGGCCGCGCAGCACAGCAGCACGTCGTTTGTCCCTCTTTCGGCCGGGCTTTGCGGCGCTCTGCGGTCCATGTTGTTAGCGGCGCTCAAAGCTTCTCAGGGAAGAGGGGTGGGCCGGGGATTCTCATTAATCAAGGTCATTTCGTGAGGCCCGGACGGTCCGCACGACCCTGGGTCAGCAGACTGATTCCGAGAGTCATTTTTGTCGCGCTGTCTCTCTCGCACACATGTGTCTCTCGGTCCGAGAGAGACCGAGCGACGAAAACGACTCTCAGCCTGCAGACGTGGACGTGCTGCCGGACGGCGACCTAAAACCATTTACTGGCGGGTGCGGACCGCGCCATGGCGACGCAAAGGGGAGCGGGACAAAAGAAAGACACGGCGGCGACAGACGCGCCGCGCGCCGACAGAAAAACATATTAAAAACACTGGCGAGTTGGGTCCGGACTCCGGAGTGGCAATCTCCTACATGGCGGGTAAGCGGGGCTGTGAGCTGCGACCGTCAGGGACCGTCAGGGATCACAAGGAATGCTTTAGGGAGAGCGGGCGCCTGGGGAACACGACGCGCAAATAGGGCGGGGAGGGGAGGGGAGAGGAGGGGGGTAGACCGGAGCGATATTGTGGAGCAGCGAGGCGGGGAGGGCCGGCCATGGCCAGTCATTGGCCAGCCGAGCGGAAGTAAGTGGGCGCAAAGGGCCGGACAAGCCTAGCCGTGGCGTGGCCGTGGCGTGGCCGTGGAGCCGCTTAAGGGCGCTACAGTCCGCCCGGCCGGCGAGCCAAGGACGCAAGGACGTCGAGGAGGAGAGACGCGATTGCGGAACCTGGACTACAAGTGCAGGGCGTTGGCGTTGGCGATGGCACCCCCAGGCGTGAAGGCCGGGGTTCCGCAGCCCATTAGCGCCCGGCGCGGTCCACCGGTTCCTAAGAGTCGTCTCGTCGCGCCGTCTCTCTCGCACCCACACGGGCCGCCCCATGAGTGCGACAGAGACAGCGGGCGACGCTTCGGGATCAGTCTGCTGGCAGCGCGGCCAGAGCGCGGCGTAGCGTAGCCGCGCTGCATCGGGGAAGTGTATTGTCCCGGTGGCACAATGAACGCAGTGCGCCCGTAGTGGGGCACGTAGTGGGCCACGTAGCATGGCACGTCGCCGGAAAGCGCGCCCGGCTTGGCCTGCTGCGCGGCCAGGCGGCCACGCATGCTGTGTTTTGATGTGTTCGGTGTGTTTGGCAGGAGCTGCGGTCCAACATCCGGTCCGGGGTGGTGCACGAGGGCAACGACTTCATCCTGTCCTGCGTGGCCAGGGGCGCCACGTCCATGCAGTTCAGCTGGTACAAGGACGGCGTGCTCATCAACGCGTCGCTGGCGCGGAGGTAGGCGTCGCTCTGTCTCTCTCGCACCCATAGGTGGGCCCAGCTTAGGTGCGAGAGAGAGAGGTGAAAGCGACTCTCGGAATCAGTTTGCCTGGCTGGGCGATGTGGCGGTCTTGATCTAACCGGTACTGGCCGCTGCCTCCGGCTGCCGCAGGAACATGCTGACGCCGGTGCAGTCCATGGGGCAGGACGCGCTGTGGTCCGCGCTGCTGGTGGTGGAGAGCACGTCCTGGCACGACGCGGGCCGCTTCACGTGCCGCGTGGTGGACGCGGGCTCGGAGCAGTGCCGCTCCGTGGACGTGCGCGTTCGGTCGCCGCCGCGCCTCGCCGTGCGCCCCCTCGTGCACACCATCCGGGCGGGCACGGCGCCCAACGTCACCACCTGCTGCTACACGGGCGCCGACAAGGTGGGCGTCACCTGGACCCGCGACCGCGCGCTGCTCGAGGTCAAGCCCGGCAAGGAGGTGGAGGAGGACCTGGAGTACCCGCCGGGGTCGCTGCTGCGGCTGTACAACGTCAAGGTGAGTTCGGGGCGACGCGGGGCGACGCGGGGCGTTCGCACCGCAGTTTGTTGGCACGAGTTTGACCCGGCCCGGCCTGTCACTCGCAACTCGCGGCACGGCGATCCGCGAACCCTTTATTCCGAGCGTGTCGCCAAACGGTCGCAGCTGCGCCCCGCCTTCGGCCCCCTCGGCCCGGCCTGCACGGTCAGCAAGTGTAACCCGGCCGAGCGCTGTGGGATTTTTTCCCAGGGATCCGACGATTTCTGCCGACTCGAACATTCAACATGCAAAGCGCCAAGCGGCAAGCGGCGGGGCGGCGTCCTTGATCCGCCTTTGTCTTCCGCTTGCGTCCGTTCAAGCCAATGGCCTGGTTCGCTCGGCAGCGTGCGGCAGCGTGCTGCTCCAGGCAGTCTCGAGGCCGCGCCAGGCAGCGCAGACGACGGCGAGATAACAGCCACTCGCTCTCCTCCCTCTTTGTCTTGTTTTTTGTCTCTTCATTCCGCAGTTCGTTTGGCGGTATCGTTTTGTCGGGCGCGGCGGTGGCGTCATTGCCGCCTTGCGTCCCCCGTCTGCTGTCATCAACAAAAGCGGCGAGCGGCGAACGCGGCCGCCAGACGTTGGGGCCGTCGATGCCCGAACGAGGAAACGGGGGTGGGGCTCCATGCGCCCCATGCCGCATGGCTGGCTGGCTGGCTGAGCGAGTGCCCGTCCCCGCGCCATTTCCATTTGGCAGATGCCTCGGCCGGACTCGTTGACACACGCCCCGCTGGGGAGGGGGCAGGGGGCTGCGTCCGGCGACGGCGTGGGGAGTGGAATCCTCATTGCTCCTCATTTCACACCTAGTGGACCTTTCGCCGCGGAGTCGGGCGCGGCCAGTGCGGGCGGGGCGAGAGTCTATTGAAAACTAATGGCCGAGAAGTGCCCCAACTTGGTGCGCGGCTCGTTATCGTGGCCCGGGCCGTGGAACGTGGAAGGGTTGCTCGCGCCCTTGATTCATCTCCCCTCGCTAACGCGTTCATGTCCCTTGCAGAAGTCGGCGCTGTACACGTGCCGCGCGGAGAACGCGGCGGTGGAGAGCCGCGTGGACGTGGTGGGCGGCGGCCTGGTGCCCGAGTGCGCGGCGGCGCGCGCTGCCGGCGTGGCCTGGGCGACGACCCCCGCGGGCCGCGAGGCGCGCATCGAGTGCTCGGCGCTGCTGGGCCACACGGGCGGGCTGGCGAGGCGGCAGTGCGTGGGCACGGGCCTCGTGGAGGCGCCGCCCGCCGAGCAGGTCGGCGACGTGGATGGCGGCGTGGACCACCACGGCCAGGAAGCGCTCGGCCGCAGCGAGCACGGCCAGGCCGCGCACTGGGACGAGCCGGACTTCTCCGAGTGCGTGCAGGAGGAGTTCGCTTTCATCAGGGATAACGTGAGTGCACGGGTCTTTTAGTCGTTAACCAATTTGGAACATAGTCCTTATCCTAACAACTGCGCCGCCCCCGTTTGACCCACACAGTTCGTCCGGCTGACGCTGGGCTACGCCAACACGACAGCCCTGCAGACCCTGAAGGAAGTGCGGCAGTGGCTGGAGGCCCGCCTGGCGGCGGACACGGCCGAGGACGGCGACGACGACGACCTGGACGGCGAGACGTACGACGGGCTGCGTCCGCGCGAGGGCCAGCCCGTGCTGGACCTGGTGGTGGACGTGGCCGCGTACCAGCGCAAGGTGCTGGGCGCGCGCAAGGTGCTGCAGCTGCGGGAGGAGCTGTTCCGGATCGTGGACGCCCTGCTGCTGCACCGGCACGCGGTGCGGGACAACGCGGTCAGTAGTTGGTGCAAGGCGGTGGGAAGCCTCTTCCCAGGTATTATTGAATGAGAACGAAAGGCCATTTTGTTGTCCTCCAGGCCATCGAGGAGGTGCAGGGCCTGGTGCGCGAGCAGGCGTTGCTGTGGGCGTCGTCGCTGCCCTCGCCCTTGTCCTCCGCCTCGTCGTCGTCGTCCTCGGCCCGCAGCGCCTCGGCCGCCCTGCTGCCCGCCGCCACCTACACGCAGATGGAGGTGCACGTGGTGGGCGCCAACGACCTGGACGAGGCGACGCGCGCCAAGGGCCAGGGCGTGCCCCTGCCCGAGTAAGTGGCCTGTCGGTCTGTCCTCCACCACGGCCCCGAGAGGGTGCCCTGATGGGGTACCCTCTTTCCGCCCTCTTTTCAGGGCCGATCCATATGGATTTCCCTCGCTGGGTATCAAGGAGTATTTCCTGTGCGGTGCTGGTCGTATCGCTCCCGATCGGTTCTGGAGTGAAGCCTGGTAGCCTGGTAGAGTGGGCGCCGCTCAGCGCGCAGCGCGCAGCGTGCAGCCCCGCCTGATGAAATGAACTCCCCTCCCCTCCCCCACCCTCCCTGCGCCAGAGATAAAGATAAGGGGGCTCCATGGCATGGCAATGCACTGCCTCGTTTGGCTGCGACGCTCCGCTTAGCGGCCATAACCTCCTCATCCACCCCTTTGAATCTTTGTCTCTTTGTTCCCGCTGCAGCAGCCCACCCCCCTCTCACCCCCACTCTCTCTCCTCTCGCCCGCGTCGAATAATTATTCACCCCGCCGTGCTGCTTGCCTTACAGGTGGGTCGGCGGCTCCCTCAAGCTGCACGTGTCCAAGGCCCTGCTTTCCAACCGGTCCCTGGTGGCGGCCGTGGTCGCCTTCAAGTCCCTCCACAAGCTGCTGCCCGAGCGCAGCATCGCCGAGCTGCCGTGAGTACACAGCACCGCGTCCCTGATCTTTGACTCGAGCCGTGGCGCCGTGGCGTCGCCCCTGGCAGTGTGCCTGTAGTTGATGGCGCTGTTGTTGTTGGCAACAGGGACAACAGCGAGCTGGAGTACGAGCTGGCCTCGTCCCTGGTGTCCGTGTCCCTCGGCTCGGAGGCCGGTGACCTGGTGAAGGACGTGGCGGAGGACGGCGTGGACTTCGGCGCCGACGTCGTGCTGCTGGTGCGTGCGTGGTGCGCCGGGTGTGCTGGATGCAGGGGTGCATGTTGCTGACCGCGGTGCGTTGCTGCAGGTGACGGTGCCCGCCGGGCCGGCGTACTCGTGGCCGCGGTGGGGGGTGAGCTGCGGCGTGGCGGACATCGCCCGCGGCATGCCCACGACGCGCGGCCCGCTGCCCTGGAACACGACGGCCTGCGCCACGCTGCCCGTCGACTGGGACCCCCTCGGCAGCCTCGGCAGCCCCCACGATCTGCGCTCCGGCACCTTCAGCCTGCGCTGCAACTGCACGGCGCCGGGGACCATCGCCGTGCTGCTCACGTCCAACACGTCGGAGGTAACGCAACCCTACAGCCACTCTGCTTGAGACGCGGTTTCTAGCTTTCATAGTTTATATTTTTCCCCCGTTTGCTGAATGAACGGGAAGGGTTCGAGTGGGAGGGATATTAAGACGTGTGTCGTTTTGGAGTCTCCCGTCCGGAGTGTCTGTTTTATTGCAAGTGAAGCGATGTCGCGGCGGGTCTGGGCGAAGCCACGGACGGCACCCAGTAGTACATGGGGGAGGGGGAGTGTGGCCGAACGGACCTGGTGGACTCGCCGCCCGTCTCTCCCTTTCTGTTCCTGGTGGGCGGGCTGCCCTGGCCCTCGCGCAGGGCTCGCTCCACAGCCGCCCCCGTCGCGCCGCCTACAGCGCCGCCCCCGCCCGCCCCCAAGGCGCCGCCGATGGAGCCGCCGATGAGGCCGCCTGCCGCCGCACCCAGCACCTTGGCGAACAGGCCGCCCAGGGCGCCGCCGACCGAACCGCCGAACGCCCCGCCGAGCGCACCGGCCACCGCGCCGCCCACCGCCACGCCGACGGTGCCTTCCACGGCGATGCCGACCGCGCCCCTCACGGCCAGCCCCACGGCGTCCGCCTCGGTGTCGCTGCCCTCAACAGCGCCGCCCATCCCCGCTCCAAGGCCCCCACCTGCGAAGCGGAGACGTCCCAGCCTCCTTCGAGCACTAGATTCAGCTGCTTCGAGTTGGTCTGAATACTTACCGATGGCCCCGCCGATGGTCCCCGCCGCTGCCCCCGCCGTGGACTTGCTCACGACCAACCCCAGCGAGCCGCCCAGGACTCCTCCCAGCGCGCCGCCCAGCATGCCGCCCAGCACGCCCCACAGCAGGCACGAGTACCACTGCACTGGCAGTGGCAGCGCGGACCGGTGCACCCAGATGACGTGCAGCCTGCTGGGGGTCATGGCGGGCACGGCGTTGGCCGCGCAGGGCCATGCTGCCCACGAGCATGCTGGCGGTGCGGGCGGCGGCCCCAGGCCCAGAGTGGGGCCGGCCCTGGGCGTAGTGGCGGGGGTGGAGGCGTGTCCGGACGCCGCCGATGGGGCCTCCGAGGGGGCCTCGGACGGGGCCCCGGACGGAGCCCCGGACTCGCTTATTATGTCGCTGCAGTCGTGGTCCGCGTCTGCGGGCGGTGTCCGTAACGTGACGTCACGCCACCACCAGCGTCTTGGGACTTTTGACGCGCGCGGATACTCACCGAGCTCGCCCTCCGGCTGGGGGTCGTGGCCGCACGTGCTGAGGGTGAAGCGAGTGCGGCCAGGGCCGCGCAGGTGCGCCCCGGCGCGCCCCGTCGCGACCAGCGTGGGCAAGGTGGCGGTCTGAGCCTTGCGCCGTGCGCGCTGCCTGGCTCAGGCTCGCCCTCCCAACATCTGGCGGGCTGCAGGGCGCGCCGCCATGCCGCCGCCCGCCGCCACAACAATGGCCCTGTGTTCTGTGTTGCCGCGTGGACGCTGACGTGCTTGTCCTCGTTGCAGAGCGCCGTGCCGCTGGGCCCGCGGCCGCCCGCCGCGCTGCTGTCGGGGCTGGCCCTGTGCGCGCTGCAGGCCGGCGCCGCCTTCCTCGTGCTGCTGCCGCGCTGGCTGAGCCGCCCCTCCTGCATGCAGTACCTCAAGCTCCAGAGCGCCGCCGCGTCGTCCGCGTCGGCCGGAGTGTTCCTCACCGGCCTCACCGTCAGCAGCGTGAGTACACTGTTTTCGAGTTTCTCATTGTTTACGCACGTTTAGCCGCGTGCGCTGGTTCTGCGTCAGCAGGGGGATGGCGTTGGCTCGACTGCGGGCCGCGGTAATTGGTGCATTCACTCTGAGAAGACGTGAGCCAGGCGATGGCAGCCTGCGCTGCAGCGTCCCACACGCTGCCACACTGCCGCCGCCCGCGGACCGGCGCATAGGCAACCCGCGGAGCAGGCGCGTGGAGCGTGGTGTTGGCTCGCGCGGCGGTTCCGCTGTCGCTGTCGATTCTGAAGAACCGTTTCGACGCTCTGTCTCTCTCGCCCCCGTCCGGGACGGCCGATAAGTGCGACAGAGACAGAGCCACGGAATGAGGCGGCGGGCGCCACGTCGGGCCGTGTTTGCCGAGCGTGATGTGAAACCTGCATTCCGCTGCGGCAGGCCCTGGCGGCCCTGGCAGCCCTGGCGATGTGATGCGCCGATAGCGGTGCGGCTGCGGGCTCGCGTGCGCGAGGCGCGAGGCGCGAAACATGTTTGCATTTTATTTTTGCCGCTCCGGACGTGGAGGGGTGTGTGCTGCGCGTGTTTGCGCGTGCCCACCACACCGGAACGAGCAAGGGCGCTTTGCCACGCTTCGCCATGCTTTGCGGACCACTGGACAGGGTTCATTCGGCTGTGATTACACATCGGCGGCCGCTACGGCCACGCTGGGCCACGCTTTCACCGTTCACCGTCGTTTTGAATCAAACTCGGTGCAAGCCCGCTGCGCCTTTGGGATGCCTTGGCTGTCTTTGAGTGCTGCGCGGTGCTGCGTCGTCTGACGGGCGGTTGCTCTGTGTTCCAGTCCGCGGGCCCGGGGCTGGTGGCGGCCCTGCACTCGTGCCTGCTGACGGCCTTGACGGCGCACCTGGCCCAGCTGCTGCTGCTCTACACGGAGGTGGTGGGCGTGCGGCCTCTGCCTCACCTGCGACAGAGCCTCCTCGCCGTGGCCGTGGGCGCGCCGCTGGGCGCCGTGCTGTGCGGCCAGGTGGCGGCGCGCTCCGTGCCCGCGCCCTCGCGCCTCCACCACGGCCACCCCTGGGCCCCCTGGGCGCCCTGGGGCACGCGCCTGTGCACCGTGCTCGTGGCCACGGCGGCCATCATCCTGGTGGCCTTCGGGATGCTGCTCTGCGTCGTGGTGGTCCGCATAGCGCGCGACGCCCGCGGCAAGGAAGAGGACGGCCAGAGGAAGGACAGGTAGCGCTCTCGCAGTGCACGTCTCTGTGTCTGTGTGCGCGCACGGGCGTCTCACGTGTGTTCCTTCCCGTTTCTTCCTCCAGGTGGGGCATGCTGAGAAGGTCGTGCGCTATCGTGCTGTGCCAGGTGGCCGTCGTGGCGCTCAGCATCGCCTTTGTCAGTGTCAAGTCCTCCGCCGTCTGCTACGTGTTCAGCGCCTCAGCAGCGACGCTGGTAAGGAACGGCATAAGACCCCATTTTAAAATCTATATCCATCAGGAAAAATGGCTTGGCTGCTCTCCTCCTCTGGATTCCAACAAGCAAATAACTTTCTGAGCGTGAGCGTGCCGTGTCACGCAGCACCCACCAAATTTCCTTGTGAAAAATCCCGAAAACAATGTGGCAAAAAGCAGTATTCCCGGATTGGAATGTTCTTCAATTTTGTGAAAATGCGGCTCGGTGTGACGAGGAGGCTTCCGATCCTCCCTTGATGTTTTCAGATCGCTGCAAAGTGCGCACTCTTTCTTTAATAAAAGCCACTAATTCTTTTTACCTGTACAGCAGCTGAACAAGCCGAAAGGTGGTTTATTGTGTGGCCTCTCGGGCCTTCGGCTCCCCGTCCTCTCCTGTCGTCTGCTACAAAATGTCACATCATAATAATGTGTACTGGCCCGCGCCTCGCCCACCGCGCGGCGGCCTCGCGACGGCCTCGCGGAAGCGATGGCACGAAATTGATTCAATCAGCGATCCTCCCCGCCTAGGAGGGCTGCCCCATCTAGCGCGAGGCCTTTGTAACGGCGCGCCGGTGTAACGGGAGCCGAGTGGCCCCGGCAGCCCCGGCAGCCCCGCCAGGCTTGTCAGCGCGGTAATGAACAATGAACGCCCGGAGTGAGCCTCATTCCCCTTATTCCATTTCCAGGGGGCGGTCACGCTGCTGTGCTACGTCGTGCGCCCCGAGGGCCCCAGCCGCCCCAGCCCCTCCGCGGGGCTCCGCGACGCTGGCGCCCTGGCCGACAAGCTGCGCGGGGACGGCGGCGCCGCCACGACCATCCGGACGGCCCCGGACCCCGCCGGGGACGCCAGCCAGACCGAGCCACTCACCTGTAAGTGTCGGAGTCGGTGGTACGCGTCGCGCCGCGTTGAGCCCTTTTGCCATTGTAGTGACTCCCTTCAGCCTTCTCACCCCACCGCCGGCTGGCCCTAACAAAGTCGTTGTTCCATTTAGTGTGCTACTTTTTGAACTTTTCGCCTCAGCTCATAGCTTGACGTTTTTACCCGCGTTTTTACCCTTGCTGGCCGGATTTTTTTTCCTTTTAATTTAGTTTGTCAACGAAAAACGTGACATTGGTTAGCGTTAAAGCTCCAGGCTAGATTCGTAAATACCTCCCCACCCCCTCCTCCCCTCTGCGGCGAAAAGGGTCTTAACGTTGTAAAATGTTTTTAATTTGATTCGGTCCCGGACGGAGTTTAGCGGTGACAGCCGCCGTGCGCGGTGCGCGGTGCGCGGTGCTCGACTCGACCTTGGTAATTGGATGAGGTGACTGTTCGTCTTGCAGCTGCTTGCGCGCGCTGTGCCCGCGGCCTGGCCCACGGCCTTGACGGCCTTGGCGGCCTAGCCCGCGGCGGCGCTGACGCTCTCCGCTCGCCGTGGCGGCCCCTGCGCGCCGCCCTGGCCAAGCTGTGCTGGCTGTGCTGCAACGTGCGGTCCTACCAACTGGTGCCCCCACCCTGCGGACCCGACACCCCTACCCCGGCGAGGCTAGGCGCCGACCAGACCCCGTGCCCCTTCATCGGTAAACTGGCAGTGCGATGTAGCCCTATCCCTGGTGGGCAGGCCCTTGCGCCCTTCCCGCTCTAACCCTTTCTCTCTCTTTCTCTGGGCAGCCCCATAACGATTGCATGGGTTGGTGTGCGGTCTGCGTGTCTGCGTCCCCAAGGTGGTTGTCACCGAGTCTGTCTACTCCGGTGTCTGTTCCTTTTCTTTACTGCGACTAACCGTGTGCCTTGCGCTTTTGGAAAGGTGTCTGTGTCAGCATGTCCGTGCCTTCCGCCTCGCCTTCCTCACTTGTCTGAATTGTCTGACTCGGCCGAAGTCGCATTGCCGAGCCTCCGCTCACGCGGCCCCTTCACTGTTGCAGTCTTCACCAAGCAGGACGCGGAGCTGGAGAGCGAGGCCGCCGCGGACGCGGAGACGCATTCCCGGCAGCACGCGGCCGTCGGCGCCGCCAACGGCAAGCCGGCCGCCGTGCCCATGTGCACGTGCCACACGTACTGCACGTGCCCCTGCGTGTGCCACTCGGTGCGCTACGTGCCCATGTGCCCCACGCCCGTGTCTTCGGTGACGTCGGTGCCGTCGGTGCCGCCGGTCGGCTCCGTGTTGGGCGTCGGCAGGGAGGCCTCGCTGCTCGGCGCGTCCGACGCCGAGCTCCCACTGCAGGACATGAGCCTGCGCTCCCCCAACAAGTACCTGTACATGCGGTGCCGGCCGTGCCGCGCCGAGGAGAGCGACGAGTACGTGCACCAGGACGCCCTGGAAGCCGTGGACGTGGCCGCGGTGGACGCGATGGCCGTCACTAGGTCGCCGCGCCGATCGTCTGGGCCGGACGCCACGCCGCGCAAGTACGCGCGCACGCTGTACCGCAACGACTGGGCCGCGCTAGGCTCGCTGGGCGGGCCAGCGAGCTGCAGCACCATGCAGGACCACACCGTGCCCCTGCGGCCGGAGCCGGTGCCTTGCTACATCCGCGGCGAGCCTGGGGTCCCCGTTGTCGTGTCCCCGACCAGGACCGCGCCTCCGCCGCCACCGCCGCCGCCAGCGCTGACGACGCCGTCGCGAGTGTGCCCCCGCCCCCGCGTCCAGATCGTCACCTGCAAGGCGGACGTGGAGCCGGCGCCGCGGCCCTCGCCGCACCCCGCGCCGCACCCCGCGCCGCACCCCGCGCCGCACCCCGCGCCGCACCCCGCGCCGCACCCCGCGCACGCCCCCGCGCCGCACCCCGCGCCGCCCAGCGGACGCAGCCGACGCAGCCTCCAGCGACGTCGGCCGCGTCGGCCGAGGACGCCCTCGACGAGGACGTCCTGAACCGCATCTCGCACGACCTCGACTACCTCCTGAGCGGCGACATCGGCAGCGCTCCCGCCGTCCCCACGGTCCCCTCGGCGTCGGCGCCCTCCGCCGGGGAAGGCAACGGCCCCGCGGCCACGTAACGCGTCATCGCGTTCCGCTGTCACGTCGTCGTCTTCACGTTACCGCAGCTGCCATGGCTGCTCCCCGCTCCATCCATATCATATATGGGCTCCAAAGAGTATTATGAGCATCAGCAGTGGTCAGGTTGCGGGCCACGGGTGCTCCAAGTCTTTCTTTAGGTTAATTTAATGGAAATTCGAAATGATTTAGTTATGTAAATATTTATTGAGACTGTGCGTACCTCTTGGTATTATTCCTTTCATTTAAAAGACTTGTTTGTTATATTGAGTGTGATCTGGATTTTATTATTATTAATTAATTAATTTTATGCACTTTTATGCCATGGGGTATTTGAACAGCGTGCAGTGTTAGTAAAACAATGAATACTGGTGCAATGAAATCTGTGTATCATAATTAATACCAAAGCTCCAAATAAAAATAAGACTGACGATAATTGAAGACACATTTCAATGATCATTTACCTGCCCTTCTTAGATATTCGATCACCATGACAACATGACAGCAAACAATCTAGGAAGCATGAATCGCCAAAAATCAAAGCATGCGAAAAAAATTTAAAAAAGATCTTCAAACTGATCTTAGTGTCTGCTGTGTTCATTTTGTGTAAGTCTAAAACAAAATGCCTGAAAGAGGCTGATTGGGGACTAGAAGCAGATCTCTATTCATATACAAGCAATAGTTTTATTAATGATGACAATAACAAACAGAAAATCATATCACACTTACTGAAATGCTTACTTAATATTGCATATACCCTCAAAAATAATCAAAAATTAATGAATTACAACATAAAGCAAAGAATCTAGGAAGCATAAATCGCCAAGAATCAAAGCATTATAAAAAAGTAAAAAATTACATAAGATCTTCAAAGTGGTCTCAGTGATTGCATTGGAAACAGTACATTGATACCCATCAACATCAAACGCTTATCAGATACTAGATCAATTAGCAAAAATCACATCTAAACCTCAGCACATTCTTGTCTACGGTGTTTAGCTCACACAAAAGAGTCATTAGGTTCTCTATCGCTCGGCTCAGGGCCTCAGGGTGCGCACCTCAGTCGAGCGCTTCGAGTCTCCAGCAAGTGCGCACGCAGCCGAGTGCATGGCAACTAAGTCCGATGTGAGGGGAAATATCCCATACTTAAACTAAGTACTCTCAAAATTCATAGTGAAGAGTGACAAAAAATATAAATCAGGGGTACTAGTTAGGAAGGAGCGTTCAGATCCTACACAAGAGTTTCAACGTGTTTACTGACCGACTCATTTTAAATTGACATTAGTGAAATTACCACCAGACAAAAAAAAATCATTCCTCACTGAATGAAAGTAATTGATTAAGGCCAATAGAACATGCTTTGTTCTTAATTAACGGCACCAACTAAAACATAAATAGATCAGTACAGCCAATTTATTACCATCTCCCATGTTCAATAAGTGACAAATTAGATTGGAGAGAAATAACTGACAAGAGTCTACACATCCTGCATCTGCATCAGTCTTGGGGATCTTTCTGCTCGGCACTTTCTAAAGCACAATCAGGATTAAGTTGGGCTGCTTTGTAGCTGCTATCGTTTGGAACTGCTTTTACTTCATCCCGCTGAGCTTCTTGTTGGGCAGCATTAAAGGATCCTCTTGAAATTTGAAGCATTTCTCTTAAGCCCTGTTAAAATGACACCGGATTTTATTTTTTAAAGTTGTACATTAAATTGAGTATAGGCACAAAAGATTCACACAGGACTCAATATTGAGACCTGATTAGATTACTTACCCTATTTTCTGTTATTAGCTGGGACATACTTTCTAGATCCCGAACTGAACTTTCTTCATCCATGACAGCAACCTGATTCATAACAGCTGCCATTTCTGAAATCTTTTCAGCTTGTTTGTGGACTTTCTAATGGAACAAAAAAGATCACAAAATTCAGTTGATGGCTAAGGCAGTTGGTAAATTCAATTTATTTTTAAAAATTGTGAGATTGTTTAGGTTGTTTCAGGAGAAGCACTTACATCAATGTCAGATGTTTGGCACACTCTTGAGAGATCAACTTGGTTTTGACGAATCAAGGTGTCAGTTTGTTGCCTATACTTGCTCATAATCAGTTCTAAGGCATTCTGGTATTCCTCTAAGGCAGCCCGAAGCTCTCGATTTTCCTGTTGCAGCTTCCGCAAGTGTCTATTCTCTTGTTGAATTCCAGCGGCCAGAGCAGCATGTGGTCTCTGTCTGGCAACCTCATTCAATTCATTGACGTCCTCTTGGTACTGCAAGAAAAAATTGGTCATAGAGTATTAAAAAAACTAGGCAGGTAAGATGCGCTTAAACTGAATTCGTCAGTGTAATTTTACCCACTTGTTTCATGGCATCAAGTTGCTTGTAAACAGATTGTGTTTGTGACAGCAATACGTCAGCTGCAGTGTCGTGCTCTTTCAGGCGGCTTGCAAGTCGCTTGGCATCAGACAGAATCTGCTGAATGGTCAGAGACATCTGGAACACAAAGGAGTAATCACATTTCACCGCTATGTTTGCAAGCTAATGGTAGGAAAACAAAAATCACTCATAATTATATCGGCATATCTCCCCTGACACTCAGACAAGATGTTCTTGACTACCAGGTGATTTTAATAATTAGATATCAAATACAACCCATGGATAGGAGCGTCATTAGTACTAAAAGCAGTCTACAAATTGTACTCAAACACAGGGTTATGTATAAAATATACAAAGCACCGTGCAAGATCACGGCGCAAAATTGCAAAGGTGGCTTTAAAAGGCACTTACGTCAGTTAACTAACTGCAATTTTGTTTCCGAAAGAAAAATTTGGATACCACTGGAGAGAAAGACATACAACAGCGTTAGCAGGCTGTTAAAATTGTGATTCTGAAAGCAGACAAGCGACAAGCAGAAAAGTAGAGCAGCTGTCAAGCACGGACTGCGTTCGCACGTTCGGCATGCATTTCGGACGCAGCTCGAGTAAATAGAAGGCTGTGGATATTTCTCATACTGTAGTACTGTGGTGAGTGTGGTGGTGGTGACTGTAGACTGTAGTGTTGTTGTAAACGGAGTCTGTCTGGAAGATGATTTTCTGAATTAATTGATCTGTTTTGACTGTCAGTGACATGTTTTCTTTGACTTCTTTTGAGTAACTTACGCTGATGGTTCGTTAGGTAAAATTTACTAATGTTATACTTGTTTTTAAGACTAGGTTATGAACCTGTTTCAAAACTTACACCTTGGATTCGCCTTTGTACTTTGAATAAATAATAGATTTTCAATGTTGCTTTGTGTGTGATAGAAGATACATCTCCATCCTCTACATTCTAGTGCTCGAAACCGGCAATGACAGAACGAGGAGCTTCTGCTAACCAGTTGGTTTGCAGACCATGTTTTGAATTTCAGTCATTCGTGCGACGTATTGAAAACAACGGAATTTATGTCACAGGTTTGTGTGTTTTTTGCTTTTAGTTTAGTTTTGTTTAAGACACTCCATTTGGAGTATTTTTGAAAAAAATCTGTTACCTGTGTATTCTTTTATTCATTAGATTTGCCTCCCTATGTGGAAGAACAATATGTTTATAACTTCTTTAGTCAATTTGGCCGGATTGCAGACTTTTATCTTGCAGATAATGGTTTGTATTGCCTGGTCAACTTTTATGACAAGTAAGTCTTAAGCTTCCTGTTAATATATCAACTGGGTCAGTTTTTTGTTTCAGTTTGGCTAATTTGTCAACTTTTTTTTCAGTCAATCTCTACAACATGTACTCAGTTATCCTGTTTCTATGTATGACATGAGACTAAGAATAAAAAAACGTCGTCAAAACAATAGTATGTTGCTCCTACCTTACATTTGATTTATTTATTTTATTTTTTAAATTCCAGACTTGAACAATATGCATTTTACATTACAGATCCAAATGCTGAGAATGATTTGCCATCATATCACAAGGAACTTCTCAATTTACTCTCTAAGAAAAACACTTTCAAAGAGCAGGTGTTACTTCACTTTCTTCTTCTTCAACATCTTTTATCATTTAAAATTTTAAGTTGTCTAAACTTCTTCTGAATTTTCTGAATTTGAAGGCTGAAGAATTCTTCAAATTATTAGCAGCAGATGAGAGTGATTTTAATAGTCGTCGTCAAGTCTGTAGAGATTTAGAATATGCCTTGAAAAGCCTTTCCTCATTATACAAGATTCAGCCTTTTGGCTCCAGCGTCAATGGCTTAGCTTTTAAGGACTCTGATTTGGATATTTTCTTTGGAAAAGGTAACTACCTTTGATAGTGTAGAAAAATTTTTCAGGAAGTAGCTAATTATTCAATCAAATAATTTATTGAATTTGTTGTTGCAGAGCCTGATACTAATGGCCCAGATATCAGTAATTTGTTAAACAAAGTTACAAAACTTCTTTCAAGGGACCCTCACTTTATTTCTGTGCAGCCTGTACCAAATGCAAGAGTGCCAATTGTAAAACTGGTTCACAAAGCAACTGGATGTAGCTGTGATCTTTCTTTTAAGAATACTATGGGAGTGCAAAACAGTAAATTGATAAAATTCTTGACTACCCTAGATGAAAGAATAAAGCCCCTTTTTATGATAGTGAAATTTTGGGCCAAACTTCATCATTTGACTGGAAAGCGTTTCTCAAATTATGCTTTAATAATGCTCCTTACAAACTTTCTTCAGTCACTAAATGAACCAATTCTCCCACCCTTACGAGTGCTCAAAAGCAATGATGCTGAGAGAATTAAAATAGCAGATTGGACTGTTAATTTTGATTATGATGGTACAAGGGTAAGGCCCACAAGCAACGTCCTGCCTGTCGAGGAACTGTTGACTCGTTTCTTCCAATGTTTAGTTAAAACTGATTTTGAAAACTATGTGGTGAGCCCATTAGAAGGTGCTCTTATTCATAAGGGACATTTCCATCATATGGAGTTACCATCAGATATGGAAGATTATGTTTCTTATGTTAACAGAGGAAATCAAACTATCAAGGTTCGTAGTCAATGTATTTTACTAATAGTGCCTAATCATGTTGGGTTGTGACTTAATTGAATTGTTCATGTTCTCACTTGTTTCAGCTTGATTCAGCCATTTGCATTCAGGATCCCATTGAATTAAATTTAAATCTGACAAAAAATGTCTCAAAACATGACTTTCAATCGTTTAAAGAGCACTGCCATGTTGCAGTGCAGATAAGCTACAGGGAGCCACCTCATTTATTTTTACCTAAGCTGCTATCAAATGTTTACCTGTACCCAAGCCAAGATGGCAGAAAATCATGGCACATAAATCCCATGCACGTGCCTCTGAAACCGTTGCGACCATTTATGACGCTAAGTGTTCCCTTCCCAGAGACTGAAGAAGTAAAACTTTTGTGGAGAAATGAGTTGGTACAAAAGCTTAAACTTATTTTGAAAAAAGTTCTGAAGATTGATGTTGAACATCAGATGGTTAGTTCATTTATGCTATTTTACATCATTTAGCTACCTATTTTACTCTTCTTTCTCTTGGTGATAATTTACTGTCTTCATTGCTTCATTGATTTTTTGTACAGAACAAAGAGTCGAAACCTGGTGCTGATCAGAATCTCATCTGTAAAGGGTCGCAAGTTCTGTGGAGAGGGAGGGATGAGTTGTGGAATCGATGGTATCTGAAAAAAAATGATATTTTAAAATGTGACAATCGCAATGAAGAGGAAGTGCAGGTTTGTTTGTGAAAAATATTGAATTTTGTCTAGAAAAATATGCCATGTTGTTGTTTTGCTTATGTGTTCATTACACTCGATTCAAGGTGGTGTTTCAAGGTGGTCAGAATGCTCAAGGTGGCCAGAATGCTCAAGGTGGTCAGAATGCCCAAGGTGGTCAGAATGCTCAAGGTAGCTCAAGGAAAAGGAAAAGTAATGAAGAGGTCGCAGAATCTAAAAAAGTGAAACTTGATCAACCCCATGATCTAGAAGAAGATATCATTATTATTGAATCACCAGAAACAGACAGTCCTCACGAACAAACAGCCAAGAATACCTCATTAATAAGAAGTCTTCAGGAAGAAATCAACTTAACAAATGATATGGTGAGATGATTATCAATGATTTTGAGATGAGTTTCCATTTCCTACTGGTATCTCCTGTTAATCTTCGATTGTGTCCTCAACAGGTGAGGAGAAAGCATGCATTACCAGCTTCACTGCCCATCTTGCGTTTCTCATGCAATGTTTGCATGGACAGTCATGGTGCAAGAATTGAAATATCTGATGTGAGATCTCTGAACAATTACTTCAACTCTCTGTGTTCTTTTCTTCAAAACTTCATTGTGCGACACACCACTCAAGTTGGTAGTGAATAAGTTGTGAAGTTTGTATCTCAAAATTTGTTGATGAATATCATCTAAAGAAAATAAACTGCATGTTTTATGTCATATAGAATTAAGGAACTATTTAGCTTGAACTGTGAGTATCAGTATTATAGTATTATGTATTATATGCTGAACTGATTGTGCCATAACACACTTCTAGTAGCTGAACAGCTGCAGTCTGCAAACCAGACAATCCTAGACAAAGTTCCCACTCTTATTTAAGATGAATGTTAACTGCAGTGTAGAGTGGCGTAGTGCTCGTTTGGGTTAATACTCTTGGTTTACTTGTCCATTGGTTTCATAACACAATGGACCGTCTCTGGTATGTTCATAAAAATATATTTTATTTACATAATATAAATTTGTTATCACAAAATATGTAACATTAAAAATATCATTGATCAATTAAAAATTTGAGGAAAAGAGAAAGAAAAAATATGGTTTCGTTACTTCCCTAACTTAGCTCTTTAGAGCAATTGTATTCCCACTTTCTGCAATGCTCAACATTTCTTGAATGTTAATTATCTTCTCACGTGGTTTACCCACAGCTTTGCCTCGTTTGATTTCCTCTTGATCAATTTTTTCCCAATCTTCAAATGAAACAACCTGCACACCTGAAATTGTTTTTGTTGTTTAATCACAGCTTATTCTCAACAGCAATCTAAAAAATTACATTAGATGCTGATGCTCATAATATACCTTTGGCTTTTAACTTAGAATTGATGGAAGAAAAGCCATGTTTTTTAACAGATGTGTCAATCACTTGGTTTTTCACATCAGTAACAACATTTGCTCCAGTCTCATATGCATTAGACATGGTTGTCAGGATAACTCCAACTGGGCCAGTTGATAGCCAACCAGCACTATACACACCTAGAAAGGACATATTTCTAAATTAACTTTATGTTCTATGATAAATAGAAAAAAAGGGACACACAACTGAGAAATACAGTAATATTTTTACCTTTATCCACACGGCCGTTTACATTCATAACTTTACCCCTTTTGCTGTCAAATGGTACTGTTGGATCAGCACATACACTTTTGTAACCAATGCTTCGCAGGACCATTCCACATGGTATCTCTTCTGTCTTGCCTGTAGCAATAGCTTGCTGGCTTTCAAGGTCTGCACCTTGAAGGGAGTTAATGCCAAACTTCACCCCAGTCACATTAGAATCACCCACAAATGACAAGGGACTTCTCAAAAATAGTGGGCGGAAAGTTTTTGTTGGCGAATCAACTGTTTTAGCTTCCCAACCTAGACAAAGTTCCCACTCTTATTTAAGATGAATTTTAAACTGCGTGTAGGTGGGTGGGCTGTTTGGGTTAATACTCTTGGTTTACTTGTCCTTTGGGTTTTTCATAACACAATGGCCCGTCTCTGGTATGTTCAAAAAAAAATATTTTTATTTACAAAATAAATTTGTTATCACGGAAAGGCGGCAAGGGGGGGAGTAGCCCCTCAGTGTCGTGGCGGTATCTCCAAGCGATCTTTCCTGGGAGGGGCAGCATTTGTTTTTGCATGGTGGGGCCTTTGGCTTCAAGGAATTGCTTGTAAATATGCTTGCTTCCCCTGCTAAGCGCCAAACGGGTAGTGCACGCAGGCAAAAATGTTTTTGTGGAGCTTGGTAGATAACGCTTTATCTTTGCAGGGCTTGACGAACAGCGAAGAACGATCCCGGGCAGGACAGCCAAACATCGGGGCCCCAGTACCGGGGCGAGAAAGGACAGTGCGGCAAGGAGGGGACCAGAAAGAAGAGAGAAAGGCAGGGCGAGCAGGGGCTGGGGCACAGAAGGATGAGGTGCTGAAGACTGGGGCAGGGTGCTCGGGAGTCGAGGCACAAAGGACGCGAGGGACGCGTGCCGAAGACTAAGTAAGGGGCTCCAAACGGACCCGGCAGAGATGGGACTCAAACTTGGTGAGGTGCTCAATTTAAGGCAAAGTAGGATGGAAAGGGGGGTAAGGGGTAAGAAGGACTCCGCATCGAGCACCGACGGCAGGCTTCATTATTTCATAGCTAACTTATTTTTTGGGGGAAAAAATTTTTCCCTCTTAGCGCCGAATGCGGCAGTGCACGAGGGTTTTTGTGGAGCTTGGTTATATCTGCTTTATTTTTGCATGGTTTGAGCGAGAAGCGAAGAACGACCCCGGGCAGGGCAGCCAAACATCGTGGCCCGGTACCAGGGCGAGCAAAGGACAGTGCGGCAAGGAGGGGACCAGAAAGAAGAGAGAAAGGAAGGGTGAGCAGAGGCTGGGGCACAAGAAGGATGAGGTGCTGAAGACTAGGCAGGGTGCTCAGGAGTCGAGGCACGAAGGACGCGAGGGAAGCAGTGCCGAAGACTAAGTAAGGAGGCTCCAAACGGACCCGGCAGAGATGGGACTCAAACTTGGTGAGGTGACTCAATTAATGGCTAATTTAGGGATAGGTTGCATGGTGGGGGGCCGCCCCCCCCCACCCCCCCCCGCTGGGTAGGGAAGAGGGGGTAAGAAGGACCCACAACGAGCACCGACGGCAGGCTTCATTATCTAATTCTAACTTATTGTTTTTAGGGATAAATTGTATGGGGGGGGGGCTGCCGCCCCCCCCCCCCCCTGTAGGAATTAAGGAGGGGGGCAAGAAGGACTCTCAACGGGCACCACCCGCAGGACCCGGACACAGGCTAGGAAAGGTCGAGGACGCCGGGAGAAGAGAGATCGCGGTGCACGCTGAAGGGCTTTGCTTGCTTGGCTAACCGCACTACGCTTCCGCCTTCCCCGCTGCATGAGAGAGGGGGGCCCGGGGGGAGCGAAGGGACTTCCCTCCTGGCTGCGTGGTCCCCTTGGAGCTACCGCCACCCGGGTGTTATGATCCTGCCCTTATAGCTGGGGGCCGGGAATTGTGATAACACTTTGTAGCTGGTGCTTTCTGAAAAACCCTTGACAACCAGACAACCCACTCTTTTTTAGATCTTTGGGGTTAACTGCAGGGGCGCCGTTCCGTTTGGGTTAAAAAACTCTTGGTTTGCCCCAGTCCTTTGGGGGTTTCATAATACAGCTGGACCTTTCTGGTATTTTCCCAATAATAAAAATTTTTAACATAATATAAATTTGTTATCAAAAAATATGTAACATTAAAAATATCATTGATCAATTAAAAATTTGAGGAAAAGAGAAAGAAAAAATATGGTTTCGTTACTTCCCTAACTTAGCTCTTTAGAGCAATTGTATTCCCACTTTCTGCAATGCTCAACATTTCTTGAATGTTAATTATCTTCTCACGTGGTTTACCCACAGCTTTGCCTCGTTTGATTTCCTCTTGATAAATTTTTTTCCCAATCTTCAAATGAAACAACCTGCACACCTGAAATTGTTTTTGTTGTTTAATCACAGCTTATTCTCAACAGCAATCTAAAAAATTACATTAGATGCTGATGCTCATAATATACCTTTGGCTTTTAACTTAGAATTGATGGAAGAAAAGCCATGTTTTTTAACAGATGTGTCAATCACTTGGTTTTTCACATCAGTAACAACATTTGCTCCGGTCTAAATATGCATTAGACATGGTTGTCAGGATAACTCCAACTGGGCCAGTTGATAGCCAACCAGCACTATACACACCTAGAAAGGACATATTTCTAAATTAACTTTATGTTCTATGATAAATAGAAAAAAGGGACACACAACTGAGAAATACAGTAATATTTTTACCTTTATCCACACGGCCGTTTACATTCATAACTTTACCCCTTTTGCTGTCAAATGGTACTGTTGGATCAGCACATACACTTTTGTAACCAATGCTTCGCAGGACCATTCCACATGGTATCTCTTCTGTCTTGCCTGTAGCAATAGCTTGCTGGCTTTCAAGGTCTGCACCTTGAAGGGATTTAATGCCAAACTTCACCCCAGTCACATTAGAATCACCCACAAATGACAAGGGACTTCTCAAAAATAGTGGGCGGAAAGTTTTTGTTGGCGAATCAACTGTTTTAGCTTCCAGTGCAGCTTTGACTAAAAGCTCAGTAAGTCTCTTTCTTGGACGAACCAACTCTGATAAAAAATTTGAAACATTTCAAATCTGCATAAAAGGTACATAAAGAGAGGCAAATACATTATTAAAATAAAACATACTTGGAATAGTTTCTGGAACCCCTTAAAAATGATCCTTTTCAAACACAGTGGAGCAGTCTCTCAGGTTGATCATTTCTCGCAATCTTTGATTGTGAACGCAACTTGCAGTGGTCCACGTCGACCAACCAAGTACACAGTTTTTACTTTACTGTTGGCAAGCCTAGCCAAAGCATGTTCAGTAATATCTTTTTTTCTGGAAGAAAAAAAGGAAGAATCTAAAAAAACGTAAGCTTTTAAGAGATAAATTAAAAAAAAAAATAATTCTGACTACCTTTAACTCATCGATAGGTGAAAGTAACATCCTGGCAGCATCAACAGCAACATTACCTTGACCAAGGATTACAACATCTTCATTATTAAGGTTTACATCAAGGTCCTTGTCTCGGGGAAGTCCATTGTACCACCCAAAAAACTCTCTTGCTGATATAACATTCTTTAAATTTTCACCAGGAATGCCAAAAGTTTTATCCTCTTCAGCTCCATACGTCTAGTAAATAGCACAAGCAGTGACATAAATTTTTAAAAAGTACTATAAATGTTTAAAACTCCAATTAAAAGAAAACTTACTAATAAAACTGCATGATATGCCTCCTTCAAATCTTGTAGAGACACGTCAGTTCCAAAATTAACTTTTCCTGCAAATCTTATTTGGGGATTTTTAGCCTTTTTAGTGAAAGTATTTATCACTTTTTTCACCTCAGGGTGATCGGGAGCCACACCAAATCGCCCCAAACCCAAACGGAACAGGTAAACGCTCAAAGATATCAATTTCACTGTTGGGTAGTGCCTTTTAAATGAAACAAAATGAAATTTTAAAAAAAAAGTCTTTGTAAACTTGTTAAGACTTGTTGACTTAAGTCAACAATGCAAGAACAAACCTTTACTATGTGTTGGGCTGCGTAAAAACCAGCAGGTCCACCACCGACTACACATTTTTTGGTACTTTCGCTCAAGGCAGGAGAAGTAACAAAGGACCGGGTATTCCTTGTGATAGAGAAGGCAAAGCGGTGCTTTTTGGAAACAGGCTGGAACACTTGTTCTGGTTGTCCCCCTTTGACGTATTAGTTACCCTACCATGTCCTGGCTATCAAGATACCAGAACTGTCTGTCACACATCGAGCATGCAATACTGTTTATGCGAAAGGAATGAATCTGACATGTATAGAGAGAGAAGTCTGGATTGACTGTATGTTGCAATCTTATCAGTCATCACATCACTATGTGGCCTTGCCAGGTAGTAACAGCTTTCTGTTGACTGAATGAAAATTTACATTAGGATTACAAATGGACTCTGCAACGGGCACCACCCGCAGGACCCGGACACAGGCTAGGAGGAAGGTCGAGGACGCCGGGAGAAGAGAGATCGCGGTGCACGCTGAAGGGCTTTGCTTGCTTGGCTGAACCGCACTACGCTTCCGCCTTCCCCGCTGCATGAGAGAGGGCGGCCGGGAGGGAGCGAAGGGACTTCCCTCCTGGCTGCGTGGTCCCCTTGGAGCTACCGCCACCCCAGGCCCTGTATGATCCTCGCCCTTCCGCGACGGTAGCGGAGGGGGCCGGACATTGCTGATAAGTCACTTTGTAACCGGTGGTCGTTCTCCCACCCTTGCCCCCGGCCCACTAACCCCATTCTCTTTTTTTTGCCACTCATTGCAGGTTGACACCCAGGGGCGCCCGTTCCGGCGGGCTTTAAATATACCGGCAGGGTCAAGGTGGCCTTTGCCCCAGCCACTGGGCGTGATTTTGAATACGCGAGAAGTGGTGGAGTGTCCAATAATAATAATAACATAATATAAATTTGTTATCACAAAATATGTAACATTAAAAATATCATTGATCAATTAAAAATTTGAGGAAAAGAGAAAGAAAAAATATGGTTTCGTTACTTCCCTAACTTAGCTCTTTAGAGCAATTGTATTCCCACTTTCTGCAATGCTCAACATTTCTTGAATGTTAATTATCTTCTCACGTGGTTTACCCACAGCTTTGCCTCGTTTGATTTCCTCTTGATCAATTTTTTCCCAATCTTCAAATGAAACAACCTGCACACCTGAAATTGTTTTTGTTGTTTAATCACAGCTTATTCTCAACAGCAATCTAAAAAATTACATTAGATGCTGATGCTCATAATATACCTTTGGCTTTTAACTTAGAATTGATGGAAGAAAAGCCATGTTTTTTAACAGATGTGTCAATCACTTGGTTTTTCACATCAGTAACAACATTTGATCCGGTCTCAAATGCATTAGACATAGTTGTCAGGATAACTCCAACTGGGCCAGTTGATAGCCAACCAGCACTATACACACCTAGAAAGGACATATTTCTAAATTAACTTTATGTTCTATGATAAATAGAAAAAAAGGGACACACAACTGAGAAATACAGTAATATTTTTACCTTTATCCACACGGCCGTTTACATTCATAACTTTACCCCTTTTGCTGTCAAATGGTACTGTTGGATCAGCACATACACTTTTGTAACCAATGCTTCGCAGGACCATTCCACATGGTATCTCTTCTGTCTTGCCTGTAGCAATAGCTTGCTGGCTTTCAAGGTCTGCACCTTGAAGGGAGTTAATGCCAAACTTCACCCCAGTCACATTAGAATCACCCACAAATGACAAGGGACTTCTCAAAAATAGTGGGCGGAAAGTTTTTGTTGGCGAATCAACTGTTTTAGCTTCCAGTGCAGCTTTGACTAAAAGCTCAGTAAGTCTCTTTCTTGGACGAACCAACTCTGATAAAAAATTTGAAACATTTCAAATCTGCATAAAAGGTACATAAAGAGAGGCAAATACATTATTAAAATAAAACATACTTGGAATAGTTTCTGGAACCCCTTCAAAATGATCCTTTTCAAACACAGTGGAGCAGTCTCTCAGGTTGATCATTTCTCGCAACTCTTTGATTGTGAACGCAACTTGCAGTGGTCCACGTCGACCAACCAAGTACACAGTTTTTACTTTACTGTTGGCAAGCCTAGCCAAAGCATGTTCAGTAATATCTGTTTTCTGGAAGAAAAAACAGGAAGAATCTATAAAAACGTAAGCATTTAAGAGATAAATTAAAAACATAAAATAATTCTGACTACCTTTAACTCATCGATAGGTGAAAGTAACATCCTGGCAGCATCAACAGCAACATTACCTTGACCAAGGATTACAACATCTTCATTATTAAGGTTTACATCAAGGTCCTTGTCTCGTGGAAGTCCATTGTACCACCCAACAAACTCTCTTGCTGATATAACATTCTTTAAATTTTCACCAGGAATGCCAAAAGTTTTATCCTCTTCAGCTCCATACGTCTAGTAAATAGCACAAGCAGTGACATAAATTTTTAAAAAGTACTATAAATGCTTAAACTCCAATTAAAAGCAAACTTACTAATAAAACTGCATGATATGCCTCCTTCAAATCTTGTAGAGACACGTCAGTTCCAAAATTAACATTTCCTGCAAATCTTACTTGGGGATTTTTAGCCGTTTTAGTGAAAGTATTTATCACATTTTTCACCTCAGGGTGATCGGGAGCCACACCAAATCGCACCAAACCAAACGGAACAGGTAAACGCTCAAAGATATCAATTTCACTGTTGGGTAGTGCCTTTTAAATGAAACAAATGTAATTTTAAAAAAAGTCTTTGTAAACTTGTTAAGACTTGTTGACTTGAGTCAACAATGCAAGAACAAACCTTTACTATGTGTTGGGCTGCGTAGAAACCAGCAGGTCCACCACCGACTACACATATTTTGGTACTTTCGCTCAAGGCAGGAGAAGTAACAAAGGACCGGGTATTCCTTGTGATAGAGAAGGCAAAGCGGTGCATTTTGGAAACAGGCTGGAACACTTGTTCTGGTTGTCCTCCTTGACGTAGTTAGTTACCCTACCATGTCCTGGCTATCAAGATACCAGAACTGTCTGTCACACATCGAGCATGCAATACTGTTTATGCGAAAGGAATGAATCTGACATGTATAGAGAGAGAAGTCTGGATTGACTGTATGTTGCAATCTTATCAGTCATCACATCACTATGTGGCCTTGCCAGGTAGTAACAGCTTTCTGTCTGACTGAATGTAAATTTACATTAGGATTACAAATGTTTTAACATGCACCAATGGACAGGATTGTATTCAGAATCCTTAGCAGTTTGGGAAATCAGCTGATGAATAATACAACAAACTCAACCGGGTCAACAGGCCAGCCAGCCGCCGGACCGCTGCCAAGTACCTTTGTTTGTATGAGAAACTGCTTGCTCGTGAAACTGTGAAACGTGAAAGTGTATCTGAATCTCAATCTAGTGAATGTTACGGAGGCAAGAACGCGGGAACTTGCCTCCGAACACGTACCCGGTCGGCAGATGAGTAGCTAGTCTCTGTTACCGTTCGAAGCGATACGTCCGAAAGATCACAAACTATCACAAATGAACGACACTAGTGGGTGGGAGGGGAATAGCTGAAATAAAGTTGGATTGCAGGTACAATTCTAAAATTTAATTAATGATTGTTGGTAAATAAATGAATCACAATGGAGAAAAAATTGCAGTAAAAGCATACAAGCTTGCAGAACATGAATAATGATAGGTAATAATAAAAGATAAACAAGACTTTAAGATGCTGCTGCCTCCAGTTCATTTGCTGGGGTCTCTGGTTCCTCATCATTGTAAATATTTTCTGCCATTTGCCACACCTGAGAAAAAAAAATATTGTTACCAAAAAAAAATTGATTTAAAGTTTCATAAGGTAATTAATCCTGATGGAATACCTGCATGATGTTGTCCTCAGAAACTGAGCAAATGACCCAGGGTTCATTAGGATTCCAAGAGAAGTCTGATATTTTAGCAGTATGGCCTCCATGAATGAACTGAAACGAAGACAGGGACAGCATTAAATGATTGAGGAGATTGAATTAACTATACCCCCACTCAAATTTAGAGGAGATTGTAAGTACCAGCAGTTCTGGCGGTCCGTCTTCAGCATCTTCACTCGACTGCTCTTCTCCAATCTTGCTGAGATCCCATACATGCAGTCTCCTGTCTGTGCCACTTGACGCCAAAATCGTTTCATTATGAGGGGACCATTGAACCTGTAAATCAATGTAAAATATTAATAATCTATATACTTTCATTTCTCTACACTAGTTGAGTAAAACAGGCATACCTGGAAAATTTCATCTTTGTGCGACTCGAATGAATGTAGTTTCAGCTTCAAATTTCTTAGATCCCACAGAGCAACAGTCTAGGTGAAGGAAGGGGGAAGAAAAAGAATTAAATAATATCAATGCATTTTACAGTAATGAGGCAAACCAGGACTTACCTTGTCAGCACTTCCAGTTGCAAGAATGAACTCTGAGTATGGATTAAAAGACAGGCAGTTGACCTCTGCAGTGTGAGCATCAACCGTGTGGGAGGGTTTGCTGGTGTTGTTGGATCGTGTATCCCAAATCATAAGTTTTTGATCATCAGCAACTGAACCAAAGAGGGACTCATGGAGCAAATGCCATGCAACATCCTAGAAATAAAAAATAAAAAACATACAATTTAAAGGATGATAAATCGATTCTCCAAAGCTAGATATTAGACAGGGAAAAATTGATATTCTTCATACACACCTCAACAACAGCGGTGTGGCCAGTGAAGATAGTTTTAGCATCAATAATACGATTCTCCTTGGGAGTTGCATTGATATCCCACAAACAGATGGTGTGGTCATCAGAGGCTGACAAGAGATATCCATTTAGGTTCGGATTCCAAGAAAGACCATAGCCTTCTTTTTGATGACCACGCAATCTGAAATCAGAGAGAAATTATGATGAAAAATGTATGCTGCAATTGGACAGCCAAGACATGAGCCAAGTGTAATTACCTCAGGTCAGGGTGACACTCTCCATTGGGATCAGGCTTGGAAGGGTGTTTGGTGTAATCAAACACAAGGACATCACTTGATGGTGTCTTGGTGGCAATAACGCAAGGATTCTGAGGCATATAGCGGGCTCTGTTGACCTCACCTTCATGGTTAATTTTAATTTCAATCTCTATTTTTCCACTGATAGAACCAAAACCTCCGAATTCTAGTATAAAAACAAATAAGATGAAAATTAAAACATTTAGGTAAACTGGATTAATTCAATGTAAATATCAAAGAGCTACAAGTAAACTTGCCTCCTTTCTCATTATCATAATGTGAAGCATCAAACTGGGCATCTTCATTTGGCAGCTGCACACTGGCAATTAGTAGATGATTCTGTTCGTCTGACGTATGGGTTCCCAAAATGAGTCTGTGCACAGAGTAATCTTTTCCTTCAGGCCTAGTGACATCAGGAAGCCACTGTGCTGTTAACGAAGGCCACTCGAGGGCGTGTGTCATGACAAGGTCATACAGAAACGGTGTATTTTTCTTCCAGATTTTGTATTCTTCGTTGATGACCCTCTCTTCGACGGCATCATCGAACGCTTCTGAAAATCAAGAACAAAATAGACTTAGATTCACATAGGAAAATTTTAAAAATGGAAAGGCAAGATCATGCAACAAGAGGAAAAGCGCGAAAATCTTGGAAGAGGCAAATCTGTAGAAAGTCAATGCGAGACGGACACTGATGTGAAAATTCTTCATGTATACGAATGCGATTAAAGAACAAACAAGATATAAAGAACTATCCATTCAAACTAACCAAACAATCAGAATAAAAGAGAATAAAAATAGCCACTTCCATAATTCAATGGGACACGGAAAACACTGAGACAATGGAAAGGACAATTTTTAAGGGTTAGGTAAGATAGGTAGGAATTAAGGTAGATGAGCAAAGAAGAACAGCTAAATTATCTAGAGGAAAGACGGAAGAAGATTGAAACTGCAGGTCAAGAAGAGACTAAAATAATATGTTGAGGAGATAAATACACAAATGAGTAGGAGGCAAACGGGTTCGGTGGTTTCGAACTGGAAAATCGACGCTCAGCCACAGCGTTAACTCAATGAACCATACAATGGAGCGGAGCAAGAGTATGGGAGGATGAGGTTTAAGGGAAAATGATCAGTTGAGCGAAGCCAAGAGGTTAAATTTAGGGGGCCGGCGGTGCGCGCTTAAATTCTAGCGCCACCTTGCCGGCACCGTAGCAGCAAGCGTCACAACAAAAGTAGAAGACAGATAGCCTTCATTGTAGAATTACCTCCGTCCTTTTCCGTCATTTTGCGTGAGGACGCCACTGGAAAGCCTTCTTGGGACAGTTGGGACGAAAAAGCGCGCTGATAACGCGAAGAGCAGCCCAAATACGACGCAACTTTGAGCGGCGCGACGGGCGACGAAAGACAGCAGCCTCGCTTGCTTGCACTCAACAAAGCTTGATGCGCATGCGCTGCAAGCCCTCCCTCTCCCCGCCTCCCGCGCTCCCGCCAACCCGACGCTCAGCGTGGCCTCCTAGATTCTACTGGGAGCAACTATTTCTAAATTCATTGATTTATTGTTTAAATCTCTGTTCTAGATAAAAAATATTTAAAATTTTATCTCGACTTCTTTAACAAATAATGCCTTACGATCTTAAGTAACTACACAGAGAAATAGTAGGGTTATCTTAGCGGCAGCTCCTTTGTCCAACCGATCAGAGAAGAACCACTGAAAGAAGAAGTAGCAGAAGAGGAGAGAAAACTGACCTGACGTTTATCAATTTTGGTCTGCTACCGATTTGTACAACTGCTAGTTTTATCTTTGTGCATTGATGAATGGATCCCTTATTGTTGGTGGATTGCACGTGAAGCTCGCACCTGCGAGCCCAAAGTGTGTGGTTCATGAAAACTCAGTAACGTGGGGCTTGCACATAGCAGACACAAAAATGGAGCCCACCTATTATCTATTCCTATCCAAACAAATGTTTTTTCAATAAGTTTTGCTACCATTCTTCTATCCTTTATCTATTTTGATTGCTACTAACGGTGAGTACAAATCTATTTTTGAAATATTTTTTCCTATCCTTTGACCTCTATGTCCATTTGTCTCGTTTTGATGAATCATAATGAATGTCAAAGGGTTTGTTTATTCTGTCACTGTGTAGGTATCTCAAGATGCTGCCAGGCTTTATGATGAAGTTGTTGTCACAACATCGTGTCTTGTACTGCTACCTCATTCTTAGCGTCTGGATATTTCTTATGGTTGGAGGTGAGCTTGGTTTATTTTATGTAATTGAATTCTCCTTTAATCCTGTATGCTTGTATTTAATACCAGGTCCTACATGTCTTTATAGTTAATGATTTTGTCTTACCTGATTTTTTAGGCATGTACAAGTATATTGGGACAGAAGATGGTGGTCAAGGTTACAAGCACTCATCTAATGACATCTTTGTAAGAGGTTTCCCTAAGGACCTAAAGCCTGAAATTAAAGGTCGTCGAATTTATCGTCTGTGTAATCCCCCTGAAGATATTAACTTGGGGAGTGAGGGTAAGGAAATTATATTAGGCATTGTTATTTTGTATCAGTCATTCAGCTCATTCAGCCTAATGTGCCTGTATACAACTTTTTCAGGACAAGTTGATGATAATTTTACTCTAGTGGGTGCTGTAGTATTTCTTCGCCATGGAGACCGAGGGCCACTTATGCACGTACGGAACATAAGTAGTGTAAACTGTGCCGGGGACTTGCTAAGTCCTGACATAACAAATGGTGAATGGGATGCTGGTTATGCTGCATATGAAGCATTCCTTCAAAATGCGTCACTAGCAGCCGGTCTTGGTGGTGGGGGTGGAGGAAGTGACAAATTGAGCAATAACTTTCTATGGCAGCTGCTTGGGCCTTTCCATGCCTTTCCTCTGGTTCCACCCAGCAGTGGTGAATGTAGCCTTGGACAGTTGACTCCAGTTGGAGTCACCCAGCTTCTCAGGTATTAGTATATTCTTATCATTTTTTTGCAGTGTGGAATTTATCAGCAAGTTCAAACTCTATAAATTCTTGCTTTCTTAGGACTGGCCAGATTCTTAAGGCAGCATATGCTGAAAAATTGGGTATTGGGACGGGCTCTTTAACTGCAGAAGATGTAGTCGTGTACAGCACCCATTATAGGCGCACGTTTCAGAGTGCCCTCGCGTTCTTATACAGCTTTCTCTCTCTTGATGATCTCCACAAGGTGAAATAATATTATTAATTGCTCAGGACAATTTAAGACTGTGGTTCTATTTGCATCTTTGACTTGTATTATTAAATTTTATCAGGTTACATTACGTCCTAGTCAGAGCTTGGCCTTTTGTTTTAATGACTGTGCGTGCCCTGCTGCTGAGAAGTACCGCCATCAAGTGAGCGTTGAAGCAGCTGAACATTTTCGATCTCACCCAGCTGTGATGAAACTGGTCAGATCTGCTGCATCAATTGTATATGAGTCACCTGACAAGACTTTATTATCAGACCCTCACGCTTTGAGGGACGCACTTCTTGCTTATGTGTGCCATGGCGCTCCTTTACCATGCCTTGATGTAGGGCTGTTAAACAAGGTAAGTTATCTATTCAAAGCTCTTGCTCCAATTTTTTATTAATTTTTTATTTTGTGTAAAATCTATTTACACTTATGCATTTTAAAATTCAAAAACTCCTTCCTACAGGAAATATGTGTTCGGCCTGAGCAAGTAACCAGTCTATTTGCATATACTGAATGGGAAGAACGCTTATATGTCAAGAGTCAGAGTTTGAAAAGATCCTGTCTGCTTCGAGCATATGGGTTGCTAAGAAGTGTGGTGGGATATTTGTTGAAGATGGTATCTGAAGGGAAACCTCGTATTGTAATATACTCTGGACATGACAAAACATTGCAGTATCTAACTGGAGCATTAGGTGTTATTGCTGAAACAGCAGCTCCCCATTATGCTTCTAGACTTGTTATTGAGGTTCGTCTCTATTTTTGTTTCTTGATTTTTTATCCCATTATCACTGTTTCTCTACGCTAAAGGTCGCATATTTTTTGTGTATCACAGGTATATCGCAGTAAAACTTCAGAACATCCATCCACCAGTGAACCAACTGGATCTTCTCAGCATGAAGATGGACCTGCAGCCAAAGATTATTTCTTCCGACTTGTTTTCAATGGTAGGGATCTCACCAACCATGTTGTTTGTTGTCGACATGGAGGGTCAACTGTCGTTCATCCTCATACTCACCACAACTCTCGTGCGGAGGAAGTTGATCCAGCTCTCAATGTTTCATCTTCTTCTCATCGTAAAAGTAACTCGTCATTTTTATGTCCTATAGAATCAATTGTTCGATTTTTGCATGATGATTACTTTGTTCCATTTAATGCATCTAATTTCAAAGATGCCTGTACTAATCATCTTTAAACAAACCAAATGAAAGAAGAAAATGATCTACAATTGTTTTGCTCAGAGCCGATTTCACAGTTGATTAAATAAGTGCGACGTATAGACATAATTGTAAAAAGACAAAACAAGACAAAAAAGAGACTTTCTAATGAGAATAAACTTGCTTATGTTCCACATTGAAAGTTGCAGTTAATCATTGTTGATAAAAGTTCTTTACCTCTGCTTTTTCATATCTAGATCGGTAGGATTTAATTAACAGGAGAGTACGGAGTGTGCTAAATGAATCTTTCCATTGAAACCCAAACATTTAGCCATAAATATGATGTAAGCAGCTTGTTTTTAAAAGATGACAGTTTGTCACATGTTTTATTTAGAAATTGGAGGCTGTGATATGATTTGTATACTGCCACTGGTGAGAAAATCAGTTTACTGAATGTGAATTTACAACTATGCCATGCATGACATTTGGAGAATCCCCAACTTGGTTGGTGCCATGTATGTTTGCAACTGTAATGTTTGCTAATGCTTAAGAATCTTCTTTTCTGTTTTTGTTTTTTCAGTGTATTAATGTTATTCTGTTTATGGTGCTAAAAGAAAAGAAACATACCTCTAGGATTATCCCATCCCCCTTTGAAAACTGCCTTATCCCTATGAGCACATTCCCAATCAAGAAAATGTCATACTTAGAAGTATGTTGTATGTTAACTATTTATTGTAATGTATTACTAAATGTATGTGTGCCAATAACAGAATTTGTGATATTAGTTCATCCTTGTTTTCCCCCTTTGTACTGCTAAGTAGCTATTTCCTTTTAATTTAATTTATTCTATGTGTTTATCCAGTGCTGCTATGTGGCTCACTAATTTGCTGTTGTTAAATTATTGTTACTTGTTAATTTTGTTTTTTAAACCATCTAGATTTATTTTTACTCAGATCTATGTGCTTTAAGCTCATTGTTCTTGTTTTACTGGATGCCTTTAGAGGAACTGGCCATAATCTAATTTTATGGAGGGTAGTGGATCAAAACTTGGTGAATCATTCATATTGTAATATCTTCAACTTTCTTCTTAAAAAAAAATGAATTGCACATGTTAATGTTAACCCCTTTAGCAAAGTGTTAATGATGTCACATCGTATAGTTATTTTGTGTGTCGTGTGTTATACTGAGTTAGCTCTGATAGGAGAGATTTGGAGTTTCTTAGTAGTAATGCTTTTGTTCGACCTAACTGTTGTCTCCCCTCCCTTCTCCATGTGTGTGTGTCCCATATTAATTTGTCAAGTATTCTAGAGAACCGTCCAAAAAAAAATTCTTTTAAAACAAGTTTGTGAAAACAAAAAAAGTGTAAGTGTTGTTGAATGTTAGTCTCCTGAGAGATTTTGTCTTGTTTCTCACTAATCCTTAAGTTTTCCATCATAGCCAAAGCAGAATAGAGCAAGCATTGGAGGTAAGGTGCTTCAACATGCTCTACATTTTTTATCTCGAGTGTTTTAATTTAATTGTCTTCAGTTTTGACCTTTAGCATAGTTGGAAGTTCTAATTATCCGACATTGTGTATTGTAATCAGAGAATTATGGCAGTGGCGCAATATGTAGCTGTAGCTTTAACTGTGGCAGTTTTTGTTAGGTATTTGTTCAATGCAGCTTGTCACTTCCCATTAAGGTACTCAGATCCCTCTAGTGAAGGGAGCTAGAACATCAACAGAAAAATGGAAATTTTCAGGATTGAGGAACGTTATTGGTAAAATTATTGAAGTTCATTGATGCTTAATTCTTGTTCTATATATTAAAAATAAAATAAAAAAATTGAATTACATCATGTGCAGGTATTGCGTTTACATAATGAACCTTAACATGAGACAGGCAAACACGAATGAAAATCCTAACATCTAAGCTAGATGAGCTCGTGATGCAAAATCCAACTTTCTGGCACATAAACCACACCATGTAACCAATGGGAACCGTAATAATTCCAAGAGGTATAATTATCTATTTATTGTCGACAATATGTAAATCCAGGTACAGCCTCATTTGACACATGCACAAAATATGACCCCTCTCCCCTCTAGATGGAATTAAAATAAAGTGTTAAAAAATAGCAAGCGCATTTTTAAAAAAAGGTAACCAAGTTTTCAATAAATAGTTGACTCTGGTTTGTTACTTATTCCCTACATACTCATTTAAACATGACTAGACCAAATATAGCCCAACTATGTTAACACACCTTCAATTGAACAAACATTAGTAAGAAAAGTACACAGTAGAGGACCAAAATGTTCAATAAAAATGCAAAGTTCTAAGTACAAATATGTACACAGTGATCAAAACAATAAATGGAATGTGAATGTCAATAAATTTAACAAAAACGTAACAAAGGCAAGAGTACAGGGGGCAAATTACTTTTTAAAAATCCAACCACAAAAATAGAATCTTCTAGACAAAAACAAAAATGCACCAAAAACAAAGCAACAGTGTAGCAGAAAAGCTGAAATACTGTCACTATTTGTCATACTGCTGGAACCCACTTCACTCTTGGACCTAAAACAGTTTCCTTAGTTGTTCCATGAATATGAAAGTGAGGACAGTGTGGGGTCCCAGACGGGCATAGTAAGGGGTGAATCCCTTCCACAAGGCAAATACTCCTTCTTGACCAACAACTTTCTTGAGAACATCTGCAGTGCCAGAAAATTGAGGTTTACCATCAATCACCTTCATATTTTGAATCCTGGAAGGGAAATAGAACAGAATTAAGAAACCTGTCCATCGATAAAAACTAACAGGTGAATATACTGGCATTTGTTATTCATAATCACACTTACCTAGTCTTGGCAATATCAAGTGGCATGGATGCAATAGTAGTGGCGAGCCCAGATATCATACTTGCGCAGAAGTGAAGTTTGATACCCTCTTGAAAGTAGCCTACAAGATAATATTCAAATGTGAGTGCCTACAAAGTAACATGTGACAGGCCATAATATTATACTATCTTGCTGAAAAAACAAAACAAAAAAAGAACATACCAGTTTCAAGGAATCGCTCCTTGGCCTCCCCATAAGTTCCAAGTTGTACTGCATTCACAACAGCAGCACGGCCCATAGTGGGCACTGCTCCTTTTGTGAGAGCGAGAAATCCTTCTTCCTGAACAATGCGAACAAGAGCCACTATGGCATTGCGATAGTTCCTGCGCTCAGCAGGGGGTAGTCTCCCATCTGTAGTCATGCGAACTAAAGCAAGCTCGGCAGGATTTCCTACAAAGGAACCAACGACACCAGCAGTCGCACCAACCATCAACTTCAGCATGAAGTTTGGTTTTACTCCATTACTCCTGAAAATAAAAATTACAAACATAATACCATCTTCAAAAGGTCAGCAAAACAATTATGTATCAACACTGCAATACCGACGTTGCTACATCAGTCAAGATGTTGTTGACACCTAATCTTGTTGTTGTGTATGTGGCCTGTCTCAGAAGTCCAGCAGTCAAACCAGAATACATTGCCGTTAGTCCTTCATTCTTAAGAATTGCTCGCATTGCATGGAAACTGGTCTTATGTTCCTTCACTTTCGAACCGATACCGCTAACCTGCATCCGATTTTTAACAACATCCATAGGATGTACAAAGCAAGTAGCCAGACTCCTGCAACACAAATTAATAGCCCTAGTTAGAACCATGCTACTTTGAGTAAACAACAGTATGAATTTCTTCATGGGACACGTCGAAACCACTCATTGAACGAGCCACGAGAACAGCCTTTGATCAAATCATATTGATATAAGACATAAATAGGAGAGGAAAGTTTCAAGATTCTATTATTGTCATTCTCAAAATAAATATTTGAAACAGTGAGGCAGTGTGACATTGTAACAGGTCCAAAAGGGCATTCAAAAGACGAGGCTGGGGTGATAGGCAGTAGAGCAGATGCTGCCGGCTTTATCCGAAGGAATAAAGTCAAGGTGAGCCACGAGGGGCACTGTAGCACTCACCCTGCACTACCGCCAATGATGAACTGTTGGCTGTACGAAACCTTGGACATTTTGAACGAGTTCAAGTTTCCCAAGAACGGTTTAAGACGGTCGAGGTCAGAGGGGTCAGAACGCAGTCCACGGAGTGGGCGAGCCGCGAGTGACTGGCAAACACTCTAGGCCGGTTGTCAGACAACTTGTCTCCGCTCCGCCCCGTCCCCGACGTCGATATCAGAAGTAGGAGTAGCAGTAGCCAGCGCGTAGACCACGGCCGGACAGAAGACAGCCGGGCAGCGGACAGCTGATGACACTCCAAGTTACAAGGCTGTCGAGTGCGCCAAGGCACCACGAGGGAGCGCCCAAGTCGCTGCCCTGTAAGTCGCCCCAACGCCACCGCAGCGCTAGTGTCGCTCAGCATTTCAGCGCCAAATCTTGCTTGAAATCGACCGCCTGACGTTCAAATCTTTTGACTTCCCTCTGGGTACTCTTGGATGATACAGAAATGAGACCTTCTTATAGATTCTAAGATGGTGGGATAAAGCACTGTTTTCCGGGAAAAGGAAAAAAGCAAATGAATGTTATCTTTTCTATTTAGTGAAAGAGGCGGATTAAAATAATATGCAGCGGCCAAGCCGAATTTTGCTGGAAATTCAGATAAGGGATCTGTGGTGGTATCACGACTGCGCGGCGCGCTCCCTGGCGGCTGGAGTGGGAAGCTTGCCACGGACTGGCTCGGGCGGGCGGGCAGTCCGGACTGGCTCAGGAGCGGGAGAACCGACCGAGAGTCAGTCAGTGAGTTGCCGGGCTCTGCGCGGGCAGGATGAGCTTTCCTATCACCGTTTCTGTTTCACTCTAACGTTGCCTCTGCCGGGTGTCGCGCGTGCGCGAGCGTGTGTCTGTGTGTGCGTCAGAGACCGAGAGAGATACATGTAGAGTGACTGCCGCCACTGTTGTCATCACCCAAAGGATAAGCATCGAGGAGGGAAGTCCCAGGTCGGCCGGTTCGTCACTGCAGGAAGAGGCCCATCGATACGAGGTACGTTCTGCCAGTCGCGTCGCGCTGTGTGCAAACCCTTTGTCTGAGGACAGTTTGGTGCGCCGCGTACGCGAGAAGTGTGTGGGGAGGGGGTGAGGTGTCGTTACTTCAAGGGACCGCGTTCACGCGGGGTAGGAAAACCCATCCCGTCCAACGCGGTTCAGTCAGGACTCTTGCCTTTGTCACGAAATTGAGTTAAGGGGAGGACGTGCGAAATGCTTTGATCGACACCCCCGTCGAAAGGGAAGGGAATTCAGTTATAAGTCAATGAAGAGGTGTCTAAAGAGGTGGAGCTGCATCCTGAGGGGTAGGCAACCCATCGGGCTGGCCAGCTAGTCCAGAATGGAGGCGAAGATGTGTAGGCGAGCTGCTGGTTTCGTGCCTTAGAGATTCTTCCCGGTGTGACAGGCGTTAAGTCGAGACGCTATCCAGCAGACCGATTCCGATCGGCGCTTTGTCACTGTCTCTCTCGCACCCTGACGAAACGCCCTATGAGTGCAAGAGAGAGACAGAGCGACGAGGACGCTGTTCGGAATCAGGGTGCCGGTCCGTTGCGCGGGCGGGCCCCGTTGATGGAAGTCTTCGTCGTGCCTAGATAACGAAGCATTGGGCCATCGGGTGGCGGCTAGGCCTCGGACTAGGTCTCGGACTAGGTAGCGAAGGTTGCGCCCTTTGGGGCTGAGCAGTCATTCCCCCGCGTACCGCGCGTAGTGTCTACACCTCGGGCGGTCCCTTGTTGCTTGCCGTTTGGCAATCCGGGAGTCACGCCTTAGTTTTTTGTTGTGGTAATGTGAGAGGCTTAAAAACGGGCAAGTGTGATTGGTCTTGGTTGTCCCGGTGGCGGCGCTGTGCTGCGGTTGCAAAAGGACGCGGCGTTTGACCTGGGTGCGGAGTGCTGAGTGGCGGCAGACCGACTGGCTGGCGCGGGAGGTTCGTGTAACCGTTGTATAGTTTTATGCACCTGGTCGTTTTTTCTGTGAGGTGGGGAAATCCCACTTGGTGGTAAGGGTTTGTGTGTTTAACGACGGGGCGGTCGGCCGGCGCACTGCTGCACCTCGTGCTGCACGCGCTGAAGGCCCGCAGCCTGCAGGCGTTGCCAGTGCACTGCCGGTACTGCGCGGCGCACTCCTCGGCCTTTCCAGCACACGTCAGGAGATCCGGGATTCCGATGGTTTGGCCGCTGCTGGCGTTGCTAGGGCAACCAGTTGCCGTGCCGCTAATGATTGGAGCCGGGCGGGGCGGGGCGGCGCGGGGTGACTTTCACTGGCTCCAGCGAGCACTGCCAGGCACCACGGGCATGAATGGGCATGGGAACTGTCGTACGGCGTTGGGTCTTCACCGTCCGTCCGCGCAGGGCGGCGCAGGGCGACTCAGCTGCCATGCTGTTCAGAATCATCGGCCTGCTGGCAGGGCGGCACGGCGGCGTTGCGGCTGTGGGGCCCGGCGGGTGGTTTGACCGGCGCGGTGGCCTGCCTGACCTTGGGGCGGCCGGTGTGCGACGCTGGGCGCGCTGGGCAAGGCGGCGGGGCGGGGCGGGCGGAGGCACGTTGCCAGGCAGCAGCTTGCGGCCACTTTGGCCGTCTCCTCTTGCAGGGCGCAACAATGATGTGCATCCGCGACGCCAACGCTGTGCGACGCGCGACGCGCCTGGCTCCGCCGCTCCGCCTTTGTGCTGCGGCTTGGGGCATGGCTTGGGGCATGGCTTGGGGCGTGTGTCGGCTCGGGCCGCCGCGAGACTGTCAAGGCCATGGAGCCGCTGCATAGCCACGACCACGAGGCAGGCTCTGTGTCTCTCGCACCTCCACCCCTTCCCCCTGAGCGCGAGAGAGACAGAGCGACGAAAGCCGCGTTCGGAATGATCCTGCAGCGGCGCGCTGGTGTCTTCTTTGTTCCGACAGCCTCTATCTTTCGCCGCCGGACCAACGCTGCGCTGTCTGTCGGCGCGAGCCAGGTTCCACGTCGTTACCTGCCCGTGCGCGAATAAACGCAGATCCCCGATCGGCTGAAACTAGCGAAACTACCCACCGAGGACCTTCAAGGACCTTCACCTTTGCACGTTCTCGACACTGCGACCTCTGGCTGCTGCAGCCTGAGCGTGCGCAGAAATCCTGCAGAAGGAGTCCGGAGGGTCGGTCGCGCTTGTTGCCTGCCCGCAGGCTGGCAGTGCCTCTGGTTGCCTACCGTTCAGGGGCCGTCGCCGAAAGGCTAAAGGCGGGGGTCCTGTGCCCCCGCACCAGTGTCCGGCTGGCCCGGCAGGCCCGGCTGGCCCCGCAGCACTGCAGGCTGTTGCCGCGGGTCGTTTCCGTCGCTCTGGTCTCTCTCGCACCTTTGTGGGAAGCACTATGGGTGCGCGAGGGCGAAAAGGACTCGCGGCATCAGTCTGCGAGCGCCACAGCTCCCCCCGCACGTCCGCGACCTGGGACTTGAACGCGGGGGCGCGCAACCAGAGCCACCAGAGCGGCGGTAAGAGTGCGTTGCAGGACGCTGCAGGTGTCCGCGGTTTAATTGCAGTAATTGCAGCGCTTGTGTGGACAGCACTGACAGCGCGTACTGCGCCTCAGATTTCTCATGACTGGCGGCGTGGCGCGGCGTGGCGGTGCGATGAGCGGCCAGAGGGGAGGAGGGGAGGGGATGGACATGTGCCCATCGGCCTGCTCGAACGGCCGGCCGGCCGGCCAGCCTCGGCAGCCTCGGCCGGCATCGGAGCGGAACGCAAACCAACGCAATAAGGGGTGAAAGTGCGTGAAAGGATGAAATTAAAAGGTTGCTTCTGCGGGTTGCAGTAATGATGTGACTCGATGTCACGCCCGCGGTCACGCCCCGGCCCAAACAATGCCGATGCCCCCTCCCCCTCCCCTGCCCTCCAGCCAATCGCCACGCGGCGCCACGCGGAGCCACGCGGAGCAGCCTAATTGCCGATAGCATTGATTGCGCTTTGTTTCCAGTGGCGCAGTGCGCTGTCACTCGGCATGCTTCTCTCGCGTTCCGCGCGGTCCGGGCTGGACCGCCACAGCCCACAGCGGCCACCACAATGGGCGAGGACGAGGCGAAGGGCCTCTCCTCGCACGGCCGCGTGTTTGCAGCGCGGATGCCGGTTTTACGGCGTGGTCTGTCAACTGGTTAGGTTACCCTGACAATTTTTCGACAACCTTCAAGGGAGTGCTCGTTTTTCGCCAGTCCGCGTTCGCCCGTCTGCCTGTCTGTTCGATCCGCCATGAGCGGCGACCGCAAACCTTGCTGAGACTGCACCCACGCTCCCTACCGCCAGGTGACCGTAAAACCGAAGCCGATGGCGTAACCTTGGCGCGGCGGGGCGGGGCGGGGCGGGGCGGGGCGGACCGCGATCCGATCCGACCCGCGTGATATCGTTATTAATTCTGTCCAAGGCGTTGCCGCGCCGCCACTGTGACACCTCAGCGCCCTTTCATGGGCTGCGTGACCCGGCCAGACGGCCACCGAGCGCGGGTTGGGTATTGGCTTGGGGGCCGGACGAAAACCACGAGGCTGGAGGATAAATGGAAATCGCGAGGACAGCAATTTGATTCCGCACGGCGTTTCGTCTCTCTCCGCGTCTCTCTCTCTCTCGCACCCCTCCACGAGCAGTGAGAAGGAGAGAGACCAAGCGACGAAAACGTAGCTGCGTAGGCTGCACACCTCACGAAGTATTTTGATCATATAGTACGAAATAATTTATTTCGTTATACGAAGAAATAGTTCGTAAGTTTCAAAGTATTTTCTTTGTAAGCTTACGTATGCTCAAAATACTTTGTTATAACAAGCTGATTTCCTTCGTAAGGCCAAAAATAGTTTGTACGGTTTTCAGAGTGTGTCCTCTCGGCTTGCGTCCGCGGCCCCTCGGCCGTTCCGCGCCAACATAGGTATAAGAATAACAATTACTGCTTGCGCCGCTGCCGGGGCTCCGCTTTGGTATTAGCAAAGCTAGGCAAACTGGCGAGCCGGCCGTGACGCCCCGCGCGTGTGTGTGTGTGTGTGTGTGTGTGTGTGTGTGTGTGTGTGTGTGGAGGGGCGCCTTGCTACGCGTAATCTCGCCCTGCCGCTGCCTGGCTGCCTCTTCCTCTTATCGCGAGGTTACTCAACCTGCAATATGGGTCGTGGCGGCGCGTGGAGCTCCGCGTGCAGCTCGGTGTGCACTCGCCGGTTGCCTTAAGTCTTAATGTCTGCTGGAAGCATTACATGTAATGGCCGCCACGCTGCATTTCGCCAATTTCGCCGTTTTCTTGGCCTCGCGCACCCGAGAGTGGGGTCCTCTCGGAAGTCCTGCCTGAAGCTGTCCTAAAGGCCTATGGCTACGCGCAACACTGTGCCTACACGCGGAAAGTCGCCCAAAGCGGTTCGGGCGCCTCCCAAGTCCCTCCAGTGTCGTGGTCCTGCGCGCCTCCAGCCCCTCCAGCCCGGCGGCCTGCTTGCAGTGCCCCAGCGCGGCGCGGCGAGGCGCGTCCGGCCGGCGGCATTGCAGTGCAGGCTGCAGGACGTCGTGCTCGGAATATGTTTTTCCGCTCCTGTGATTCCCTGCGCCCGCCGCCGGCCCGCCGCCCCCGTATTCCCATCGCGTCCCTGTCTTGCAGTGTCTCGGCCCTTGCTGCCGCGCCGTGCCGCGCCGTCTGCAAGTCTGGACTCCGGGAACTCGCGGCCCTGTTGCTGTTTGGAATGCCGCGCGGTGTGCTTGACTTGGCAGGGGTTGGGGCCTCGGCGCGGGCCTCGGCGAGGCGCGCCCGCCAGCCCGCCAGGTGCAAGTCCCTTGCTTCCCATGATAATCACGACTGCGAAAGAATTTCCGCCCGCCCCGCCCCGCCCTGCCCCGCCCTGCCCCGCCACTCAGACGGCGACGCCCTGCTAACGACCCGCTGCACCGCGCCGCCGTCGCGCACCAACGCGCCGAAGTGAGCCGCCGGCATCCTCTTTTCCCACACCTGGCAGGAATTCGGTTTATGCCCCTCGGCTGGCTCGCGGCCGCGGGGCGGGGCTGCGATGGACGGGGC